CATCTTACAAGAGCTGTTTGGGGTTTTTGTGGGATCGCGTCTTTTAAGCAGCCTCCACTTAGAACGGGAGATGCAGCACAGATCATCATAACATCATCATCATAACATCATCATCATAACATCATCATAATCATGTCAACTTGTTATGCCGCACAGCATCCGCTCGCTCTCGACGAGAGAGGACGACTCGGAGGTGCGAGCAGGAGCCACGCGGTGAGGAGCCGGCACCAAATTGCCTGAACCCCCCCCCCCCTCCAAGCTCTGCGGTCTTCTACATATGAAAATGTTATCGATCAATCAACGAATGTTTGTGCAAGTGGGAGGAAACCGGATCGCCCGGAGAGATGGCAGCGACTCGGCCCAATGAACGCATCGCCTCCCGGACGAGGGGACAGTTCCCGATGGCGACCCTCGAGGTCGCGCAAGCCCCGAGGCTGTCTCCACCCCGCGGCCAAACGCCAGCGGAATGAAGACGACCACCGCAGCGCGGTGTCACGGCCCCGCCTCCTGTGGCCGCTCGGGCGCGTCGCTCGCTTGCGCTACAAACGCGACGGCACAGATGGCACGTGGGTGGGCACCCTCGGAGCGAATCAACTCGCTGACTCGCGCCGCGGATTCCCCGCGAGAGTTCCGGCGCAGATGTACGGGCGCCCGGCGTTCTACAGAACCTTGCGTTTGCATATTATTACTATTGTTATTGTCACGAAGCTGAATGCATAACGTTTAAGGCGATCGGTCGGTACGCAAGAGCGCTGGGGTAGTCTGTGCGACTGAAGTCGCTCCGCCCGGTCGCCGCAGGCCGACGCGCGACAATCTTGCAAGGACACGACAGCGTTCGCAAGCGGAGTTAGATGCATCGTCGACATCGTCATCAGCATCGTCGTCGTTACCAGGGCTTAATTTCACCCGGGTCTATCCGAGTCAGTCAACAGGAATAATGTTATGCACCCGGGACACCCCACATCCAGTATTCATCTCGCCTTGTGGCTGTTGGCTACAAGTCACGTGCCACCTATTCTAGTCTACCAGAATCAAGACGCCACGGTGGCCTAAGTTGTTGATGCCACCACCCACACCTCGCCAATCACCCCCTACCAGAACCCGTAGCTGCTGTTCAGTAGTCAGATATGTGCTGACAGTCTTCCACCAACCAATCTTAAAACATTCAGTGGGAAATTAAGCCCTGGTCATCATCGTCATCATCGGTATCACGGTCGTCATCATCCGCATCATCATCATCGGCATGCCAAGTATGGCGATTTGATTTGCCCCCCCCCCCCGCGTTGGCGATGACGCGACTGGGGCACATTTCCTCCAAGAAGCAAGGGTCGGACGAGCAGGAGAGCATTCGCCCACAACGCGTGGCGCACACACACACACAATCCGCGTACGCATCATGACCCATGCAACCTATGCTGGCTTTTGTTATTCCTATGAAACGACCGCACACCCATTGAGCCACACGCGGGCCTTAAGAAGGCGCTGCCACAGCGAGGTTTGCGGACTGCTACACGTAGCGGTGGCGTTTAAAGCGCCAGAAATAATCCAAGGTTCCATATAGCGCTCAAGCAGTCCTTCCCAAACACCACGCTCTACCAAGCATTCGCGCTCAAGTTCACATTGATTCTCAGCACGCTGCACACGCCGGATGATTGGTAAATACGTCCCAGGTCTGACAATATATGAAGTCCCCGCTCCCCCCCCCCTCCATCTCCCCGGATCGCCTTTATGGACTGTTGAGGATAGTGCTGTTATCGAGCATCTACGATGGCCTGAACAACACACGGAAGAGGGTGGCCAGGACCACGCCTCGTCTGTGAGTCGAACTCGTGTCGCCAGGTTCGTAGCACAGTGTGCCAACCGCTGCACCACAATTCCCCACGTGGCACACAGACACGCACACGAGATTGCTATCCGACTTTGAATCGGAACTCTCGACATCACGTCTGCGACAGATAGACACAGAAGATCCCCCTTCGATTTGAATCGACACACTCGATATACACACACACGTTGGAACGTGTTTAGCAATCATCGGGTTGGTGCGGCAGGCAACAACTTAATTTAAATTCGAACGAATGAGAGTGGTAAATGCGCACGTGTGGGCCGCGGAAGGTCGCAAGGACTGGAGTTGAGAAACCCTGCATTGGGATCAGCTCAAAAAACAGCAGTGGGAGGCAACCGAAGATCCATGGAGCAAACCTGTGGGATGTTGGCTTTGTTTACAAATGGGACATTGATCAGTGTCCAGACCGCGTAGGTCAAGAGGTAAATATATACACAAATTGGGAGACAAAAACCATACTCGGCTCAGAAACACATGTAGCTCATATCTTGTAGCTACACACCTCGGCTGTGCGCCAGAAGTCAGGCGTGTAAAACACATACAGCCGCTTGCCGATGGGTTTTCAGATGTTGCTGGCAAGGGCACTCCACCGTGGAGCCTTAGTTCAGCACAAACAGCGGTCGGGTTGAGAGATTCCAGCTGTTTGTTTTCTCGGCTGCGTCTCCATCGAAGGAGACATTTGATGATCTGCCAGCCCTCAAGGAGGTGACCAAGAGCATAGGGACTGTCACGACGCATCGATTCATCAAGATCGATTAATAGGCTCGTGACAACACCTATCGAATCACGTGGGTGACAATCTATTAATTTCAACTCCTGTGATTTATGTGGGGGAGGGTGGTGAAGTGGTTATTGGATATTGTTCAATTCCTAGCCACGGCGAACATGAGTGGCGAGTGATCACTGAATTGGTTCCCGCGTCCCACCTCCCCCCCCCCTCTCCCCCGACGCCCTCCTTCATCAGCCCGCACCGACCAGCGTGGTGAAGTATGGTCAAAAAGCACCAATTACTCACTCTTGAACCAATCACGACCATAACTAATTTGTGCCAAATCGTCGATTCACAGAATCCATAAAATGAGGCCTCTAAAGTTCGCAGTTCCCCACGCTTCTCACGATGAGGACGTTTATAAAAGTCTGTTCTTGTCTCACGAGCACTGCAATCGATCGACGAATCGTAGAGAATGCGAGTCGAGTCCTTTGAGAAATCTAACAAGGCTCGACCATCTTCTTTGGTTCTTTCGGTAAAGTCACGTAGAATGAGAATAAAATAATAAATTGATAAAATAAAATAACACAATAATATTCTCACGACGTTTCGGCCACAACACAAGCGGCCTTCATCAGGTGAAGGAACGAGACTGTCTGGTAGGACAGCGCTGGAGTGAAAAAAGCCACGTTCAGGTCGTGACCTGAACGTGGCTTTTTTCACTCCAGGTCGTGACCTGAACGTGGCTTTTTTCACTCCAGCGCTGTCCTACCAGACAGTCTCGTTCCTTCACCTGATGAAGGCCGCTTGTGTTGTGGCCGAAACGTCGTGAGAATATTATTGTGTTATTTTATTTTATCAATTTATTATTTTATTCTCATTCTACGTGACTTTACCGAAAGAACCAAAGAAGATGAATCCTTGCAGTCACGAAAGCTTTAAATCGAAAAGGTTCGACCAGGCCACAAAACAATGCCGAGATGAACACAAGAACGCAGCCCTCTTTGCACCGAGCAATGGATACCGGGTGAGTGCCTCCAATTTGCCAGGAACCGTTCATGTAAAATTATTTAACTTCTGATATCGTTCAAACCATAACCCGTGTGGTGTATTTTATTTTTCCCCAAAATGTATTTCAATTGTGCACTTGAGACATCCATGGCACACGACGAATAATCCGCACGCATAAGCGGCGAACCACCCTCGCGCGTCAAGAGATCGATTTAAGTGGCCTCTTTCATTCGCTGCATTGCAATGAAACTGATACGTTTAAAATGTGTATAACTGGGACTCGGCCAATTGACGCGACCTACTGAGCGTGAGGTGCCTGGGCTTGTGCGGAGACCCAGTGCACGCAGAAGCGACGGGAATGGTGCTACGGACCGAGGAGCGGCAGCCGTGCCGAGACACAGGAACTCACTGCACGGCCTTAAGCATCTGGGGGATACGCCAGCCTCTACCGACTGTGGCCTACAAAAATATACCGTGGCGCGAGTACTCAACGAGGCATTGTACGTTGTGAAACGTCCATTGGTTTACCTGATTCCATGCACAGGATTGCTACCGATGCCATCACTGCTAAGCACCTTCTGGCTCACACGTTATCGTTTTGTTTTCTACATCAGGGTATTTACATTATTATGCGTTTAAGTGATACAAAAAAATCCCATCACACTACACCCCAAACTTTTCTCAGCTCCGTTCCCTACACAGGTCCACTCAGAGGTAAATCCTCGTTTCAACCAAAACGCAATAACAACTTTTCCACTGGCACATCTGTGCCGTGTCAACGTTAAGCCCTCACGGTACTAGGGGTGGTCTTCATCTGGGGCTGTTTGCAGTGTCGAACCGAAACAAAACGCCCGCTGGCCTCGCAAGAAATATCTGAATGTGGCTCACGGCCAAGCAGGGCCAGGGGCGGGGGCTACAGATGTGATGCTTTCATTGGACACTACATCGGTGGCATGGCTCGGCTTCTGCAGTTGAAAATAAAATCTGGCCCACGCCGAGCTGTACCTGTTCCGGGCTGGCTCAGCACGGTCCCGGCGCGACTCACTAGTGCAGTGGAAAAGCGGTCGTGCCTGAGAGCCTGGGTGTGTGTCTCCAGGGTGAGGAAGTCTCCCCGTGTGTGTGCATTGTTTATGGATGTGGAGCGGTGGTAGTGTAGCAGTTAGAGTGCTTCGCTACAAACCCGGTGACTCGAGTTCGATTCCTGCTCATGGCCAACACCGGTGACAATTATCTGAACGGGTCATGGGCCTCCCCTAGGTAAACTCTGCCTCAAATGAATACCTGGTGCGTAAGAACATCACCACTGGGGAGACAAAGGCGGCCGGGCGTGGTGTTGGCCACCCACCTCCTCGTGTGCCGTGCCGGCCTTCATAGGCGCTGCTCGCTAATGGCACTTGCCCCAAGAGCCTGTCCAGGCTCTACGGAGGATCTTTGTTGTTTATGGGTGAGGACGCGTCCTTCGTTAACCGCCACGCAGAGGGAGCGACGCGCGGAGTGGGGGTGGGGAATGCCTCCTGCGGTGAAGGAGCTCCGCAGGCGTTTGCCTCCCCGCCTTAACGAGCCGTTTGCATAATGAATGAATTCGCGGCTTGAGCCTCGCGGTAGTGCATGCTCACGCAGGGCGCGCAATCGCCGCCGCTCCCGCACGGCCTCGGTGGCGGTGGCACGCTCGATCCCGACCCGTGGCGGCGTCGTCCGCCCTCTCGCAGCGCGAACCGAGTCCCGCCATCCCGCGTGTTAAAGATACGCTGTGCACGCTCGCGCGCGTGCTCACACGCATGCACACGCGGACGTATGTACGTTTTGCATAACGCAATATCTTTGCATTAAAAGGTTTTGCACGAAACATAATTAAGGCGAAGTGGCACTCGGACCCAAAACGAATTCGTGAGAGACGTCTTCACGGTGCGGTTGTGTTTCGACGCTTTGTACAGCGCAAATTGTACTGCACTGCAAATGTAAAAAACAATAATAATAATTTACAGCCCTTTGTCAATCTACTGCGAGGTGAGAGAAGTGCCCACGCCGTGCCGGTCACGGGGGGGGGGGGGGGGGTTTGACACGACTGAGCCACGCCGCTCCACGCGCGTTGGTGAAGGGTCAAAGGAGGTCCAGGACCGGTTCAGATATCACTCGCCACTGATGTTAGCCGTGGCCAGGAATCAAACTCGGGTGGACAGGTTCGGAGCACGTTAAGGGGGAGAACTGGCGGAAGAGCCAGCAACAGGGGAACACAACCCACCACTGTGCAACGTCGCTCAGTAAATTCTGTCCAGAGTAGCCAATTCTCCAATAGCGATATCTTTGTGTTAATATGTACACACCTGCACACATCGTTGTTATTGTTGTTGTTATTATGATCGTTGTTGTTACGAAGATTATTGAAATGTGATTAAAGGTAACGTCAGTGTGCATTCGTCAAACGCGCCCATGGGCGGCGGCGCCAGAAGAAGCCCTTTGGGAGCTTCGCGACGTCTGACCCTCCGGCTCCGCGGAGAGAATGGAGCGGGAGGAGGAGGTGAGGCGCTCCACCTCACCTCGTCCTCCTCCTCGCCCACCCTGGCTAAAACCAAAGCGTTTGTTAAAAGTCTGCGCGGTAAAACGCCGACGGCCACGCTCGGCCGCTTTTCTCGCTCGCTCGACGATCACCGAGCACAACCTCCTCGGGGCTCCACGTTTCATGACGATGCCTACAGAGGTGAGGAGGTGGCAGAAGGGAGCGGGGGGGGGAGAGGAGGGGCGGCAGGGGTGGCGGGGAGGGGGATAGGGAAGGAGGGAGAGAGAGCAATGGGGTCAGGCAGGAGAGGGTGGGTACGGGTGGTGGAGCAGTGCGGGTGGTGGAGCGTTGGGTCGTGCGAAGCTGTGCTGGGCAGATCGAGGTGCAGGGGTAAAGGTTAGGGGTAGAGATAGGGGTAGAGATAGGGGTAGGGGTAGAGATAGGGGTAGGGGTAGAGATAGGGGTAGAGATAGGGGTAGAGATAGGGTTAGAGATAGGGGTAGAGATAGGGGTAGGGATAGGGGTAGAGATAGGGTTATAGATAGGGGTAGGGGTAGAGATAGGGGTAGGGGTAGGGATAGGGGTAGAGATAGGGGTAGGGGTAGAGATAGGGGCAGGGGTAGAGATAGGGTTAGAGATAGGGGTAGGGGTAGAGATAGTGGTAGGGGTAGAGATAGGGGTAGAAATAGGGGTAGAGATAAGGGTAGAGATAGGGGTAGAGATAGGGGTAGAGATAGGGGTAGAGATAGGGGTAGGGGTAGAGATAGGGGTAGAGATAGGGGTAGGGGTAGAGATAGGGGTAGGGATAGGGGTAGATATAGGGGTAGGGGTAGAGATAGGGGCAGAGATAGAGATAGGGATAGAGATAGGGGTAGGGTAGGGGTAGAGATAGGGGTAGGGTAGGGGTAGAGATAGGGGTAGAGATAGGGGTAGGGGTGGAGATAGGGGTAGGGATAGAGATAGGGGTAGAGACAGGGGTAGAGATAGGGGTAGGGGTTGGAGATAGGGGTAGGGATAGAGATAGGGGTAGAGATAGGGGTAGAGATAGGGGTAGAGATAGGGGTAGGGTAGAGATAGGGGTAGAAATAGGGGTAGGGGTAGAGATAGGGGTAGAGATAGGGGTAGGGATAGGGATAGGGGTTCTGTTGAAGGAAGTTATAGAGGATCGGTCTAGGCCTGGTAAGTTCAGGATTAGGGCTGGCTGGGGTCGGGCGATGACGAGGGTTCACATGAGGGCTCAAGGTGGGGTTACAAATATAAGCAGAGTTCGCACGAGGCTGCCAGGGGAGTAGTTAGGAGTGGAGGCAGGGTTCAAGATAGGCTGCTACAGGGTTGGAGTAGAGGGTATCTTTAGGGCTAAGCTAACATTGGTTGGGATATGAGTAGGGGTTAGGTGTAGGCTGCTTGGGGTAAAAGTTAGCAGTTGGGGTAGAGTTAGAACGAGGTTTCCAGGGGTTGGAGTAGAGGTTAGGAGTATGGTAAGGACTCGGCTCCTCGTCGTAGCGGTCGGATTAGGGCTCAGCCGATGCGGGTAGGGTGTAAGCGTAGCGGGCAAGGCTTAGATCGAGACTGCTAAGGGTATAGGTTAGGAGTAGGGGGGTAACGTCATGGGTAAGGGAATACAGGTCGGCGTTGGGAGCAGGCATAGCAAATAGGACCAGGCTGCTAGGAGGATCGGTGGTTAGGAGTGGGAGGAGGGGGGGATCGAGTTCGGGGGGGGGGGGGGGGCATCACACCCTAAATTCGCGGACGTCCGTGTGTCTGCCCGACAGCCTCGCCAGCTCCTCGCGGATCGACCGGATCAGCGACGCCGTCGGCTGCGACGGTGGCGGCGGCGGCGGCCCGGGTGGGTGGCCCGCGTGCCCCACTCGGCGGCCTTCCATCGCCCGCGAGGCCAGCAAGGAAGGAGGCCCTGGGCCGGCGCGGAGCAGGGCCTCGGCCGACTGAGAGGTCGGCGGAGGGGGCGGCGGGCGGTGGTACCCTCCGTCCGGGAAGCCCTGCGTGAGCGACGGAGAGGCGACATGAGCGAGCAACGGCCCCAACCCCAACCCTGGCTCCACTCGACACCCGCTCAAGCAGGAAGACGCCGGCCTACCGTCTGTAGGACGTAACGTCTATGTATCCACGTGCGTGTATATGTAGATGAAGGGGTGTTGTGGGGAGGTAACACACACAGCGTGGGAAGGTAACACACAGCCACACCTTGGTGGCTACAACCACGTCCGCTACAGCCCCGCCCTCAGTGGTGTATGGGTATAAAGGGTGGGGAGCCAGAGAGCTGGGGGCAGTGTGTTGGGGCCAAGAATGAAGAACCAGTGAAGAAGGAAGGCCGGCTAGATAGACCCTGGGACTTCCCTGACCGCTGTCCTTCTGAGGACCGGCAGGGTAAGCCTGTGGTGCGGCCCCAGAGCCTCAGAGCCAGAGCCCTTTTAAGGGTCGGTCTGGTTGGTGGGGTGCCGTGATCTGTGCTTGACCAGGGCCAGATCAGATAGCCTCCTCTAGCGCCTGTAGCTGGAGGAACTGGGAGCACAGGAGTTAGGCTAGATAGCCTAGAGGGTGTCCCAGCGTGTATACGGGTGAAGGGGCCGTTACCCCTTCCAGTGTAACCCTTGTTACGTTAAATAAATAGTGCTGCCTCTACTCCACCGTCTCCGTGTCCCATGAACACACTGCACAGGGCACAACGCATCCTGCGTACCTCTCGCATGGCTGCGTCCACTTGTCGCACGCCACCTACTCCGGCCTACCAGCGTGACCGGTAACACAGCCAGCGAGTACTCAGTCCCAGAACGTGCGGGATCTCGTCAGATCTCAGAAGCTGAGCAGGGTGGAGCCTGGACAGCGCTTGGGTGAGCGATCGCCATGCGCGACAGGTCGATATAGGCTGCCAAGGGGCTACGCGGGGAGCCGCAGCGGGCGGTGCGGGATTGTTAATTTTACTTTCAGGCTGCCGCCCTCACGCTGCACGCCGTCGCCCCACCCACGCCGGGCACTGCAGGTCAGTGCAGTCAAACAACACCAATGACCGACACGGCGTGGGGAGGCCTTCATCCAGCAGTGGATTGCGACGACGGCTCCGAGTGAGCGCCGTACCGGCTGGTGCGGGTGCGCAGGGTAGAGCGCGGTGGCCCCGTCCTGGTGGTACGGCAACCACGTGACGTCGCCACGGCGACCCACACCGGGCGACGGGCTCGGGTAGGTCCCAGGCAGCTCCTTCACCTCCAGCGCACCGTCTACAGCCCGGCACAGCCGACACAGCCTGATACAGCCTCACACAGCGTGATACAGCCTCACACAGCCTCATACAGCCTCACACAGCCTGATACAGCCTCACACAGCCTCATACAGCGTGACACAGCCTGATACAGCCTCACACAGCCTCATACAGCGTGACACAGCTTGATACAGCCTCACACAGCCTGATACAGCCTCACACAGCCTCATACAGCGTGACACAGCTTGATACAGCCTCACACAGCCTGATACAGCCTCACACAGCCTCATACAGCGTGACACAGCTTGATACAGCCTCACACAGCGTGATACAGCCTCACACAGCGTGATACAGCCTGATACAGCCTCACACAGCGTGATACAGCCTGATACAGCCTCACACAGCTTGATAGAGCCTCACACAGCGTGATACAGCCTCACACAGCGTGACACAGCCTGATACAGCCTGACACAGCCTGATACAGCCTCATACAGCGTGACACAGCCTGATACAGCGTGACACAGCATGATACAGCCTCACACAGCATGATACAGCCTCACACAGCCTGATACAGCCTCACACAGCGTGATACAGCCTCACACAGCATGATACAGCCTCACACAGCCTGATACAGCCTCACACAGCCTGATACAGCCTCACACAGCTTGAAACAGCCTCACACAGCGTGATACAGCCTCACACAGCGTGATACAGCCTCACACAGCCTGACACAGCCTCACACAGCTTGAAACAGCCTCACAGAGCGTGATACAGCCTCACACAGCGTGATACAGCCTCACACAGCTTGAAACAGCTTCACACAGCTTGAAACAGCCTCACACAGCTTGATACAGCCTCACACAGCGTGATACAGCCTGATTTAGGCCGACACAGCCTGACATAGCCTGATACAGCTGGGCACAATTCACGGAGTCAGTGAGTCAGAGGCAGAAACTGGGGGGAAAGAATGTGGGGAGAGTCGGTGACCTCGTCCTTGCGAGCCTTCACTGTCCCCACGTGACTTTAGAGTGCAACCTGGGTTCGACTCCTGGGAGTTATGCACAATGACGCCCCCGTGGGACCCCCAAGTGCCAATCCCATTCAGTGCGTCGGCATCGGCACTGGGAAGGCGAATAACCAAATCAACCGGCACATTTGTCCCATTGACAACTTTGTCGAGCGGTGGAGGGTACGCAGCAACGCAACTTTGACATTGCACCCGCACAATGCTCCAAACCAAACATCGACTCGGAAGGGTAATGTCGCGCGATAAGAGTCTGCGTGTGAAACGACCGATGAGAGTCTTCCTTCAGGTACATCGTCATGTAGCCGCACGCTGTGCTGCGCAAAAAAACATTTAAAACCAGAAAACACATCAGCAATGCAGAGGCATGTTATGTTTCATTACCAAGTTTGGCTTGTCACAGTATCTGCTGCATCGGACAACTGCAGATTAAACAGACGCGGGGTCGCGGCAGCCCAAGGGCACGAAACGGGCTCTGCTAAAAAGTTGCCGTCCCGTGAAAATTAACCGCACGAAACTTCAAGTGAAAACAACTCTCGGGGCCGACAGTCGTTAATCCGCACTGGCCAATGCCGGCTCGGCGCGATGCGGCCCCTCGCTGCTGTTGTTCCGCCATTCTGCGCTGCTGTGGATTGGCCCTCCGAGCCTCGGGCGTCGTTTCCAATGACTCCCAGGAAAGGGCCGTAATAGATCATCCGTGGCCAGTTTTACGCGCGCAGCTTCCACAGGGGAAGGACCTGAAACCGAATAAAAATGCCGGCTGAAAAGCCAGTGTGGGTTTGATGGCCAGAGAGGCTGGTAGTGATGGTGGTGGCAGGGCCGGGAAATGGGAGGGGAGGAAACCAGCGCAAGACAAGAGAGGCACTGAAGAGAGACATCACGGCTTCTCAGTATTCCGCGCAGTTTAGCGCAGGATTGACGGGCGCGGCGTAGCGCGTCGGGTTGATTTAAACCAAACGCTCTCACTCGCTCGTTCTCGCTCTCATTGTGAAGCGGCGCAGACAAAAGCTAAGCTGGCTCCCCATTAGGCTGAGTAAGCAATTGGCTCTCGTTAGGAACGGTACAAAGCGCCGGCCGGCGAGCACCGTCGCTCAGGGAGCCGAAAACACAAACACAGACGGACAAAGATGCACACACACACACAAGGACAAAGATCCCCCGTATAGCCTCTGAACAGCCTGTTTGCGCAAGTGCTGTTAGTAAGCACGTATGAAGGCTGGCAGGGCACATGAGGGGTTGGATGCCAAAACACCACGTCCGACCACCTTTGTCTCCCCAGTGGGGATGTTTTTACACACCGCACCAGGTACTAATTTTGAGGCTGCGCCGATCTAGGTGAGGCCCAGGACCGATTTAGATAATCGTCACTGGTGTTGGCCGTGAGTGGGAATCAAACTCGAGTCGCCGGGTTCATAGCACAGCGTGCCAACCGCTACACTAACGCTCCCAACACACGTACGAACATACAAAGACACACACACACGAGGAGATGCACACACAAGACTGCTTGGCAGAAGAAAAAGGGGAAAAAAAAACGTCACTCAAGCCACATTTCCCCACACATCTCTCACTCGCGCTCCATCGCCGTGGGAGCTGCGGGGAATCCAAATCAAATTCTCACGGCCCGAGCCTGCAATCCGGAATCCTGATTCTGGGAAGGCGGCGCCCGTTACGCCATCGCGCGGCACGCAGCTCGATGCCTCGTCTCCGGCCCTCCGTGGGAGACGCGAGGGACGCCGCCGCTCGGCCACCAGAGGGAACCCCGCTGTGCGTGTGCCGCAAATGACCTTGGAAGTGATTGATGTCGCTCGCTCCGCTACGCCCTCGGCCAGAGGCGCGTTTTTAACGTAGCTTGTTGGGGGTCGCGCTGCGTCGTTCCGCACGACGTCCGACGTTTCGCTCACAGAAGCTCCCAGCCCATTGTGCATGTGGTGAGGTCACCAGGAATAAACATCGCGGGGTCATTCAGCCACTGTCCTGATGTGGTCAATGACACTGACACAGTGCCCCGAAAGCCCTTTAGTATTTAGGTAATGTCATGTAGTTTAGTCTCCTTGGCTCTGGACAACGCCGCTGTGTTGAATGCTCTCCTCTCTCTCTCTCCCTCTCTGTTTATATGTTTTTTTATTTCGCATCTCCGATTGAAGATCCGTTAACGCCGCTTGACCCCCCGCGCGCGTTCGTCAAACGGCCGCGAAGGGAGGAAATGGGAGGGGGGTGGCGGGGTGGGCACTCATCGGCGATTCCCAGCCAAAAGCTTCAGAGAGCAATCGATGGAAGCTACGAGCAGGGTGGCGGTGGCGATGCCAAAGCGGCGCACATCGCTCTCGGTGGAGCGCAGCAAGGATTTGACCCCAGACAAGTAACCGCCGCTGCTCCCCCTCCCGTACAGCCTTAACAGACTGTTGGGGCAAGCGCTGCTAGCGAGCACCTATGAAGGCCGGCACGGCAACACGAGGGTTTGGAAGGCCAGCACCACACCCGGCCGCCTTTGTCTCCCCAGTGGTGATGTTTACACACCGCCGCACTAGGTACTCATTCGATATTCACACACAGACACACTGCTCCACAACCAATGGGCCCGCGCTTCATGCAACACAAAGGCAAGAAGCACCGAGCCCACTCTCTTCCAAGGACGCGGTAGATGGCTGAGTCGACGGAGGGGAAGCCCATGACCGGTTCAGATAATCGTCACTGTTGTTGGCCCAGTGCCGGATTAAGCTAGTGCGGGGCCTGTAGCATACGTTATAAAGGGGCCCTAAATAATACAAAAAACACGTTAATATTAAAACACAATTTTTTTAAGGCAGTATAGTACTAGAGTAATAGAGCAAGTGCAGAATCACTGAACCGGAATTGATAGCTTGAAAGTTATTTAGTGCGGGGCCCTTGAAAGTGCAGGGCCCCTCACCACCCCCTTACCCCCCATTTTGTTTTAAACCACAAAACTGCCCCCCCCCCCTCGCCAGTTCACCCAGCAATCTGCAGCATCAGTAAATTGTGCAGCACGCCCGTTGACTCAGTCACCCGGCTACGCTGGAAGCAGAGGGCAGTGCAGTAGGGAGGGGAGAATCGTCGTCATCAGGGATCGATTTGAGCCGGGTCGGAGCAGGCAGATGATATTTACGCACCTGGCGGCTAGGCACACAACGTCCACTATACTTCTCGCTATGTTGGCAGGAATTAATAAACTTTATTGATTTATTTTTGTAACTTTCTTACTTTTTCTTTACTTTGCACTATCGTTGTTTGTTTTGGTTGTTGTTGTTGTAACTTGCTGACCAACCCGCAACTACTGGGCATCTGTGAAAAAGAGCTTCATAGCTCATCGGATTCCTCCTGCGATTTAAATTCGGATTCTGATTCGAATGTGCCAGGGCTACTACAAGAATTGTGCCACCGATTCCAGTCTACCAGTGACCTGGAAAATATTCGGTGAGAAACTAAGCCCTGATAATATTAACCATTGTCGTTATCATCATCATCGTTATCACCTCCATGACCATCATCGCTGCTGCTACCAGGACAATCGTCGTCGGCACGGCAACGCGGTGACATGCGGAGCCATCGACCTTCGCCGCTTCCCTCCCCCTGGGAACGGCTGAGTCACGGCTCACGGCTCTGATTGAGAGAGAGACAGAGTGAGAGCGGGCGAGAGAACCGTAGTGAGGGGGGGGGGGGGAGCAAGAGAGATCGCGCTTTAAAGGCAATCAATAGAGCGAGAGAGGGCAAGAGCGTGAGAAAGGCAGTGGGAGAACGAGAGAGTTTGAGTGAGAGACAGTAAGAGAGAGACGAATAAATAGAGCACAGGAGAGCAAGGAAGAGCTAAGAGAGAGCACGAGAGGGAGAGCTAGAGCACCATATTTCTCTACTCAGAGTTGGTGGCCTAAGACACATAGCTCATCAGCCAAGGGGGTTGGTCGGATACCATTTGGAGTGGCAAATGACACCCGGTGTCCACCATGGGCAAAAATCTCATCGAAGACACGATCTCGTTTATAGACACACATCCTCCTCCTTCTCCTCGTCGTCGTATTCCATAGAGGGCTTCTGTCACATTCGCTATTTAAAAACAATATTTGATCAAACACAAAGTAGCACCCTGCTAGAAGTAATTATTATTTTTAATCAAAACTACCGAGATGGCCTTGCTATTGCACATTGTGATCTAGAAATAATATTTACCAAGATAGCAATTGGCAGCAGTTGCCACTCTCGGTGGTACCGGTGACTACCGATGGTTATTTTCGGGCCATTGGCTCAAGGCTCTGTAGATTCTATTCTTGTGCAAGATGGCAATATGTTCAGGAGCTAAATGCCAATGTCGAAGTCTCCTGGCCATAATGAGAGGGCTTCAGGCGAGAGAGTTTGTATCGTTTTGCATTTCCTCTTCCATTGAAGACAATAGTGGTTCACTATATGGTCCATAGTTTGGATTGCATGACCACAGTCGCACTCCTGCAACTCGTCTTGAATTCACCATTTATAGAGGAGGTGCATGCATCGTCCTGTTGATGTTCCGATGCGATTGACGGTACACCGCTACATTATACACGCAGTATGGTGATGTTACCTGAGATGTAAGGCATGGATGGATGGACGGAGGCCACAAGCAAAGCTTTTGGCGCGTGTGTGTAACATCACTCACGCGAGGTGTGGTGGCGCGTGGTGGTGGCAGCAAGCCCGGGGTCGAGCGCCATCACTCCCCGGGCACTCCGCGTGAACTCCCGGGGGTAGGCCGAGGCCTGGAGGTAGCCTACAGCGCCAGCCTGGTGGTGAGGCCCCGCCTGAGCAGCCAAGAGAGGAGGCTGCGATGAGTAGGCCGGCAGTGAAGCCTGCAGTCCGGGCAGAATGTGCTGCTGCTGGTGCTGCTGCTGCTGATGTTGATGGTGTTGATGCTGGTGTGGATGCCTGTAGTGTTGCTGAAGGTCATGTAAACTGTAGTCTTGATGGGTCCTGTAGCACAACACAAAACATATCTGTCAGGGCTGATAGAGGTTTAAAGAGGAGATGCATGGAACTACCAGCCCTTTCATACAGCCGCCTCCTGTCCTGGTTTATTCAGGGTTATCCTCTCGTTGAGGTTGCTATCCTGGAACATCTTTCAGTCTTCCCAAGACAATTGTGTAATAATAACAGTGATAACGCCGCACTCACGACAATCCATTTGCATGCAATTCTCAGGTATTCTGCTACTCTGAGATATCCTTTTTTATCCCATGACATCCCCTGGTTGCTTTGTACCTCGCGAGGTGGCAACTTTACCGCCTGTTTACCCGTGGCTCAACAGCTCGGCGCTGGGGCATCTCTGCGGTGGCTCAAGAAGCTTCAATGTTGCCGTTACGGCTCAACACGTCTTCGACGCAACTATGACTCGTGCCAAGTTTGGGGCTGATCGCAAAGGCAGCAGCAGCACTCACGATCCAACACATCAGTGGCTATGGAGCACGCAACACATTGTTTTCAAATGATGATAATAGGTTTTTTCCCCTTTTTGGAAATAAAACAGGTGTTAAGATGTTAAAACACAAAACTGAAACCTTTGCAAGGAATCATGTCCGTATTTACCACATATACTTGTGGTGAATATGCAAACAAAAAAAACATGCTCTGACAGTATGTGCATTGTCTTTGAAACTGATTGGTCCACACCAGAGACAGCTTTCTTTAGAGCCTAGTCTCAAACAGTGTTAGACCAGAGGACGCCAAAAGGCGTTAAGATGCAGAGGTCGGAACATCTTAACACCTGTTTTATTGCGAGAAAGGGGAAAAACCTATTTCATAATTTAATACTGGCAAAGGAGGTCTCATGACATTGTTTTCATATCATCATTATTATTATTACTACGCTTGTTTAGCCAGGAAAGCCTCACTGAGCCTCAAGACTCTTTTTCCAGGAGTGTCCTGCCAAGTTTTCGGAGTAAGCGGGGAGATGTTTGCTGCTGTGTGCGTGTAATCCCAGTTGCGTAATTTGCAGTGTCATTTTTCAGCATTGGGGTGTCTTGGTCAATACCGGTTGCAATTTATAGCAGCCAAATACCTGAAACGCGTGATGTTGATTTTAGATGTGGAGATAAAAAGTGGAGGATTCTGAGAATAATCCATGCGACCAAGGGGAGAGAGACACGCAAACTCCAATTATACATGTGTCCGGGTCGGGATTGAACCCACGAACTCCTGCATACCAGGCGAGGTACTCGACATCGCGCCACCGCAGTGTTAAGTATTGTACCCGCACTGTTTGATTTGACGATACGAGGCGGGGTAGTCACCACCTCGCCGCCACCACGGCGGCGGCGGCACCCCACGCTGGCGGAACGAGCACATGGGCCCGCCAACGTGGCCACTGTTGCCCGCAGCAACGGAGTCGCGGCCCGCAATTAACGCCCCTCAAAATGCCGCAATGGAAAAGTTGCAGAGGTCGGAACATCGTGTAAAATAGTAAGACAGCCCCGCAACGGAGTGTGGCGCGGTCGCCAGGGTGAAAGGGAGCGGCGGTGCGAGTTGGCAAGTGGATTAATTATTTGACTTTAAGTGCCGACCTCCTCACGTTTTCCATCCCAGCTGGCGTGGGGATTCGCGCGGAACGGCGAGGAGGCCTCAGTTCGTCTCCATCTCATCTCCACGTGGGGATGAGATATCATACATCTAGGCTATCCTACATCTGAATGCGGAGAGATATCCGGCGGTACCGTCGAGATAAATTAGTTGCCGCGGTTGGGGGCGGGGGGGGGAGGGGCGCTGCCGTGGGGGTAGTGGTGCTGGAATCGCAATCCAGATGTTGCCGGTTCGATCTCCCGGCGCGGCAGTTTAAACAACGGTGCAAGTTTCTTAAATCCCTCGGCCTTGGTCCACCCCGCAGTATAAATGGGTGCACCGCAGTCGATCTACTGCTTGTGAGCGGTGGGATAAAGTGGTGGGTACTACCACAGCTTTCCGATGATATCTGATCAGCGTAGAAAAGTATGCCAAAGTAGCTCTCCAGAGCTCTCCAGAGCTCTCGCTAGTGAAGGCCCTCCCGTCAGCAGTAACGCTAGCGAGCCATTGTCGGGCTGCGCCTCGAACCTTTCCCTCACTGCGCCACGGCTCAGGTGTCCGTGTGACACAGACCGTGGGGGAATCAGTCCGGGCAGGGGCCGCGAGCAGGTGGACGGTACGACGCCATCACTACGGCAACGAAAACACTCGCCACTGCAGCCAAGGTCGCTCTCCATGGCTGACGGAACAAGTGTCCTCGACTCTTACCTCTCTCTCACCTCTTCCTCTCTCTCTCTTAACGCTACCTCTCTCTCTCTCCTGTCCCTCTCTCTCCTCTCTCTCACCTCTCTCTCACCTCTTCCCCTCTCTCTTACCCCCCCCCCCTCTCTCGTCTCCATCGCCCTTCCACCCTGCCCAAACTATTATTCCTATAATGAGCAAACCCTCCCCCACCACCACCTCCGACCGCCACCGCTGTGTATCCTATCAGCACTTCACAGGCAGCGACCGTGACTGTCGGAAGGGCACGGGGAAAGAGAATATAAAATTTGCCGCACTGTTGGAAGAGATAAGCCTGCCGTGCGTGCGCCCTCCTGGAGTGACGTGCGCGGGAGCGCGGCTCGATAACTTGCGCATCTCGCCATGACGCGGGGATAGGATTTCCCGGATTTAAAAAAGTTCGTACAATATCCGCCGCAGGAAATTTTCACGGTCGCGCGCCGCGAGCACACATGCGAGACAACGTCGCACCTCCCGGACGGCTTCGGATGAGAGGCCCACAATGCGCTTCCGCTGCCCCCGTTGCTGGCAGGAAGTGCTGCCCCATCTTGCACGACCCACAATGCCCCGGGACCGCCGTCTTGAGCTGCGAAGGCCGGCAGCGCCATGCCGGCTCCGTGACGATGATGCTGTTGGTAGTTGTCCGCCGGATGCTGACCGTGATGACTCTGATTGTGCTGATGCTGCTGATGCTGCTGCTGCTGATGATCAAAGTGACCTCCTCGCGGGGAGGCGGGCGGCGGAGTCTGCGGCGGGGGCGGAAGCCGGGGGAGCAGTAGGGAGGGGGCAGGCATGGTCGTGGGGGGCCGCCGAAGACCCCCGCCCGCGGTCGCGGCCGAAACGAGCGCGAACGCGTCGTCCAGGAGCGAGTGCATGCGCCTGCGCGCCTCCTCGATCGACGGCTGCTGGGGGGCGACCGGAGACTCCGCCGGGGTCCCCGGCGGGACCGGAGTCCCCAGCGGGGCCGGGGTCCCCAGCGGGGATGGGGTCCCCAGCGGGGATGGGACCTGCGACGGCGGCCCCTGGGAGCCGGGCGTCCCCGCGGCCCGGGGACTTACGGCCTCGCTGCTCGCGGGGTCGGAGGGCGAGCCGGCGGTCGCGGGGGCCGTCACGGCATTCTCGGACGACGCTGTGTCTGCCTCAGACTGACAAAGACAAAGATCCACCGTATAGCCTTCAACAGATTGCTAGGGCAAGTGCCGTTAGCGAGTAGCACCATGGAAGGCCGGCACGGCACATGAAGGGGTGGGTGGCCAACACCATCCTCATCCTTAATTTTCTCTCCGATGCTGATGTATTACACACTGCTCCAGGTACTGCACGCTGCGCTGACCACTGCACTTCCCACCCCAAACTGAACACACGCCACCTCTGGATTACAAGTCCAGGGTACTAACCATAACGCCAGTTACACCGGTTAAATCAGCAGGTACCAGGTGCCTCCCTCGCGCCGCGTCAGCACCGCGCTCCGGCGGACACGCTCACAGTTTGATATTCAAGTCAGCATCACAGCCGACACTGGCGGCTTGATTTATTACCTGTCATGTGCCACAGCCTTCAAGGCTGGTAAGCCTTGGTGAGATGACCGTTATGGATTCTACCAAAGCGCACGAACTCACACACACGCACACACCAGAAACTAAAAACACACGAGGGGGAGGGGGACCACCCCTCTGCTACTGAAGGCTCAGCTCCACACATTTGTTCTAAATTGCGATCAAGTCAAACAGTGCAGGTGCAATACTTAACGCTGCAATGGTTTGATGTTAACTACCTCGCCTGGTGTGCAGGAGGTCGTGGGTTCAATCCCGACCCTGACGCCTGCTGCTGCTGTATATTTGGAGTTGACGATGTCTTTCTCACCATGGTCGCGTGGGTTTTTCTCCGGGTCATCCGGGTTTTCCACTCCACGTTTGGAATCAACATGCATTTAGAGCATGTGACTGTTACAAATTTACACATGCTGATGGTCAGCTATCATTTGTCGCCAGATCGCGATACGGGGCTGCTGGCACTGCCCTGCCCGTGGGTGACCTCTGCGGCAATGTCGCCACCTCAGCTGGTTGTGTTCACCAGGCTCAAGGCCTTGTAGGGGGGAGTGGTGGCACGATGGGGGATCGAATTGCGGCGAGTGAGTACTCGGTGCGACGTGACAGAGCCAGCACGCAGGGAAGACAAAGGCGGTCAGGCGCGGTGCTCACCGCACCACCACCTCATTAGCCTCGTTGGTGCTAGCTGACAGCACTTTCCCCACCGACCAGCGCGGTGAAGTATGGTCAAACGACCTTCAGAACTGACGTGGCGTTAGGAGGTCTTTCATCCAGCAGTGGAGTGACAGAGTGCTCTCTGGGTAACGAGGCCCTAGTTGTGGGAGTCGCAATACAAAGAGCCCGATGGCCCCCGTCCGGCACGTCGCAGATTCGGAGCGAGGGGCACGCACGGCCCTTGGTCAGTCCACTGCTGGGTGAGGGCCCTCTCCGTGGCGCTCACCGCGTAGGCGGCGTTGGTGAGCGGCCGGCTCGAGCCATCGTTGTCAGAGGGCAGCAGCTGCTCCTGGTCGGTGTCGCTGCGCTCCGCCCCGGCGCGCCTCCTCCTGCGGGAGCCGCGAGCCCTGGTGCTGCACGGGGGGGAGCGGAGTGGGGGTTGAGGGATGCCCACCGGTCAAACGTTTTCTAAAACGCGAACGCGTGTCGTCGACTGGGGCGGCAGAGAGGTGGTGGCGCGCTGGTAATGCTCGCACCTCACGGCAACAAGCGCCTGGGTTAGATTTCCGACTTACTACGTGTGGAGTTTCTATGTCCTCTCCGCCTGTCGTGCTACGGTTTCTTCCGAGTCTTCCGGTTTTAAACGCACATGCACACACACGCGCACACACGCGCACACACACACACGCGCGCACGCACACACACGCACACACACACATGCACGCACACGCACACAGACACGCGCGCACGCACACACACACGCACAGCGGGACTGGTATTGGGGCGAGGGGGTCTCGTGTGCGAGGCTGCGTCGCTATTAGGGACGCGCTACTGGAGACTGGCCACATTCATCAAAGCGCTGCCCACTAGAGAGTCGATTTGATTTGTTTACCCAGGAAAGCATCACAGAGTCTCGAGACTCTTCTTTGAGGATCCTGCATTGTGATGTTCGGCCTCTGCAATGAGGCACTGAGAAGCACTCTCTGCTCACTCGCCCAGAGCGCCCCCAGCGCTCGCTCACCCGCTCCCTCGCCTGCCTCAATCATCCACGAAACAAACCCCGCGGTTGTTGTGCTGCGTGCGTTTATTTTGCTCCCTCTTGCTCAGTGAGCGATCAAGCGGGCAGGCGGGCGGGCGGGCGGGGGGGGGCCATTGAACTCGTGGGTAAGAGAGCCAGCGGGCTGGCGGGCGGGCGGGCGAGTGTGGGCGAGCGAGGTGGCAGGCGAGCGAACGCGTAGATAGGTGAGCGGGCAGGTGAGCGAGCGGACAGATGAGCCAGTAAGGCACCGCACCCTCTGGGCTCCACGAAGACGTCGGGGAGCAGCGAGGCGGGGTCGAGCACGCGGTCGATCTCCCTCTGCGCTCGCCGCGCCGAGTCGTCCCGCGCCGACCTCCTCCGGGCCGAGCCGTCGCCGGCGCTCGCCTGCCCCTGGGCCTTCTCTCTCCTCCTCTTCTTCCTCTTCTGCTGCTGCTGCTGCTCCAGGGTCGAGTCGGGCTGACGTTCGTAGGGCGACAAGAACCAAAAAATAGAAGCGCTGAGTGCATGCGTGCGTACGGGTGTGCGCGTGCAAGTGTGTGCGCGTGTGTGAGTGTGCGCGAGTGTGCGTGTGTGAGTGTGCGCGAGTGTGCGTGTGTGAGTGTGCGCGAGTGTGCGTGTGTGAGTGTGCGCGTGTGTGTGCGTGCGTTGCATTGTTTGCTCGCGTTCTGCTCTCAGACACAGCCGCCGTATTCTGCCGAATGGCGCGATCCCGACCGCCGCTCGCAGCGGGCAGCACAAAGCACGTGTCACGGTTCAGCAGTTATTGTTTGTGTAGCTAACGACAGCAGTGATAAATAAAAATAATAATAGAGTATTTTTAGAATGCGGCGAACTGGCCGGAGGCTCGTGGCGCCAAGCGGCCAACAAAGTGTGGTACCAGCCGCTCGGGTGGCCTCTAAAGTCGTCAAATACGTCTCGAGACAACTCACCAATTCATAGACAAACTAATACACAAAAACTGAATCCACATAAGGAATCGTTCATGAATCTGCATCATGTTCCCGTCCCAGAAAGTCGCTAGATTTGTTGCTCATCGCTTGAAGGTAAGCTCGAGAATTGCTCCGTGTCGACTCACAGCACCTTACGTCGCATCTCATCCCCAGCTGCAGTCCAGCCGAGGGGACCCCCAGGGGCAGCCGTCACTGTGTGCGGCACACGGTGAATGCAGCACCGTCCTGCAAGTGAGCTCAGTCTGTCAATTGGAGACGATGTTGCGATGCGGTGTTTCCCAGTAATTTGCGAGTAATTTGTCAAACGTGGAAAATCCAGGATCTGACACGGGTACACATGGCCTCCTCTATTCCATTGAGGGTCATCTTGGCTAGGATGCAGCAGGGCATCGGAATGGTTAAGATGAGATATGGATACAATGCACAAGCGGCCTTTAGAGGCTCGGCAAAACTAAAAAAAGCCTCAGGATCTTGAGACTAAATAAATGGTTCAAATTGGCGACAGCCAGGGTCGCGCTCGTGGTGAACTCGGTGATGCGTCCTCACCGCCCGCGTCGCCAGCTCCATTTTCTGGGCGTCCCGGGCGGCCGGGGTTATCGGCGGAGTCTGCTGGGGAGAGCGCGGGGAGCGCGAGGGAGGAGAGCGCGGGGAACGTGGGGGAGGAGAGCGCGGGGAGAGCGGCGGAGGAGAGCGCGGGGAGAGCGGCGGGCGGGCTGGCTCCCGCGTATCCGGGAGAGGCCGGAGCGAGATGAGCTGGATAGGGGGCTGTCTCTGCGCGTGAGTGCGAGCACGCGAATGCGAGCGGGAGCGCGAGCGTGAGCGCGACGTGTCCCGGCTGCCGCCACGGGCCGGCCACGTCACCCCTCCTCCTGCTCTCCCTGAGTCGTCCAGCAGAGAGGACGACCTCACGCTCCACTCCGAGCCTGCGGACAACGGAAGACAAGGGGTTTTTTTTAGTTTGGCAGTGTTAACCTCCAGCGTCGGCCGATGGTGGAAATTCCACGTTCCTATCGTGTGGGCCGCTGTGGACACGCACAGCGTGGGGAAGCCCTCATGCAGCAGCGGATTTGCAGAGCGGGCAGCACACGTCACCGTTACGCTGGGACGGGCGATGACGACGGTACCGCCCCCCCCCCTCACCCAGGCGTCCGTTCCTCAGCGGCGTCTCGTGGGACCCCGGAGAAACCCCGGTGTCTCCCCGCCCGGCGCTCAGCTCCGACTCCGTGTCGGATGGCTCCACCCTAGCGCACAGCATCACAGGAGACACCGCGGCAAAGATGGAGACCCCCTGTGCCGCAGTTGCCGAGCTCAGCGCGCCAAAAGCCCAAAGCGCCGAGCGGGGAGGTGTTTTTCACGGCGTGGGTTGTCGTGGTTGTGCCGCTCCCCTGTGCCAAGTGTTTTCAGGCCGTACTGCAGGCTATTCGGCGCGACGTCACTACTGTCCAGACCACGTGAAGAACGCCACAAAGACAAAGCCCCCCCCCCCCCCCCCTGTGGAGTTAGAAGCAAGTGCTGTTAGTGAGCACCTATGATGGGTGAGACGGAGTAGCACGACGGAGTTGATCCGTACGAGCGTGACGTCGCGCTGGGCAATGTGGCCTACAGTGAGGGAAAAAAAGTATTTGATCCCCTGCTGATTTTGTACGTTTGCCCACTGACAAAGAAATTATCAGTCTATAATTTTAATGGTAGGTTTATTTGAACAGTGAGAGACAGAATAACAACAACAAAAAATCCAGAAAAACGCATGCCAAAAATGTTATGAATTGATTTGCATTTTAATGAGGGAAATAAGTATTTGACCCCTCTGCAAAACATGACTTAGTACTTGGTGGCAAAACCCTTGTTGGCAATCACAGAGGTCAGACGTTTCTTGTAGTTGGCCACCAGCTTTGCACACATCTCAGGAGGGATGTTGTCCCACTCCTCTTTGCAGATCTTCTCCAAGTCAATAAGGTTTCGAGGCCGAACCTTCAGCTCCCTCCACAGATTTTCTATGGGATTAAGGTCTGGAGACTGGCTAGGCCACTCCAGGACCTTAATGTGCTTCTTCTTGAGCCACTCCTTTGTTGCCCTGGCTGTGTGTTTTGGGTCATTGTCATGCTGGAATACCCATCCACGACCCATTTTCAATGCCCTGGCTGAGGGAATGAGGTTCTCACCCAAGATTTGACAGTACATGGCCCCGTCCATCGTTCCTTTGATGCGGTGAAGTTGTCCTGTCCCCTTAGCAGAAAAACACCCCCAAAGCATAATGTTTCCACCTCCATGTTTGATGGTGGGGATGGTGTTCTTGGGGTCATAGGCAGCATTCCTCCTCCTCCAAATACGGCGAGTTGAGTTGATGCCAAAGAGCTCCATTTTGGTCTCATCTGACCACAACACTTTCACCCAGTTGTCCTCTGAATCATTCAGATGTTCATTTGCAAACTTCAGACGGGCATGTATATGTGCTTTCTTGAGCAGGGGGACCTTGCGGGCGCTGCAGGATTTCAGTCCTTCACGGCATAGTGTGTTACCAATTGTTTTCTTGGTGACTATGGTCCCAGCTGCCTTGAGATCATTGACAAGATCCTCCCGTGTAGTTCTGGGCTGATTCCTCACCGTTCTCATGATCACTGCAACTCCACGAGGTGAGATCTTGCATGGAGCCCCAGGCCGAGGGAGATTGACAGTTCTTTTGTTTCTTCCATTTGCGAATAATCGCACCAACTATTGTCACCTTCTCACCAAGCTGCTTGGCAATGGTCTTGTAGCCCATTCCAGCCTTGTGTAGGTCTACAATCTTGTCCCTGACACCCTTGGGGAGCTCTTTGGTCTTGGCCATGGTGGAGAGTTTGGAATCCGATTGATTGATTGCTTCTGTGGACAGGTGTCTTTTATATAGGTAATAAGCTGAGATTAGGAGCACTCCCTTTCAGAGTGTCATCCTAATCTCAGTTCGTTACCTGTATAAAAGACACCTGGGAGCCAGAAATCTTTCTGATTGAGAGGGGGTCAAATACTTATTTCCCTCGTTAAATTGCAAATCAATTTATAACATTTTGACATGCGTTTTTCTGGACTTTTGTTATTCTGTCTCTCACTGTTCAAATAAACCTACCATTAAAATTATAGACTGATCATTTCTTTGTCAGTGGGCAAACGTACAAAATCAGCAGGGGATCAAATACTTTTTTTCCCTCACTGTACATGGGGGTGATGTCGCACTGTCCTCTCTCCGTGTGGTGCTGTGAAGAAGGACCGTTGCCCGAAACGTCGCCTGTTATCAATTCGCTCTCTTCAAGGCCACGCCGTTTTTGACGGGTGCACCGCTAACAACGCGGCAGTACCGGCAAAGAATTCGCTTAATTTTGTAACCGCGCCGGAGAGTTTTCGGATTTTTACGGCGCTCCACGCCGAGCCGTGCTGGTGCCGCCGTTGCCGCGGTTACCGTCCGTTCTTGCCGCGCAGTTTGTTCCGCTGCGGCGTGTGGCTGCGTGACGAGGGCGTCTCCTTGGCGACCGAGGGCGAGCGCGACACCCCGGCCATGACCTTCACGGGGGTCGCGACCTCCTGGTCTATGCGCAGGTCCGAGCCGATGGTCTTCTTGGCGTAGTCGAAGCCCTGCACGCTCTGTCGCGCGCGCCGATCGTTGCGGGTGAAGTCGTGGGTTCGCCGCTCGTCGCGGGGAGACTCTAAACGCTGCGCTGTGGTATTTAAGCGACGCGACATTGTTGAAGATCCGGCGACGTGGTCGGACGGTGGTGGGGCATCGCGTGACGGCGTTGCGGTCCGAGTTTTACCAAATTTGAAAAATTACTCAATTGGAATCGCGCTGCAGCAGCAATCGTCGCCCCCTGCTGTGAAACCACCACCGCCACCACGACCGCCGCCACCACCACCACCACGACCGCCGCCACCACCACCGCCACCACCACCACCACCACCGCCACCACCACCGCCACCACGACCGCCACCACCACCACCACGACCGCCACCACCGCCACGACCACCACAGCAGCAGCAGCAGCGGGGCTGTGTCTGTGAGGCACAGCGGCGCCTTCCTGCACCATCATCGCCCTGCGCCAGGACCACGTCTACTCAATTATTGATATTAAATTATTATGATTAGTCAAATAAGTATGTACACTGTACACTAACAGTACATTGTTCACGAATTTGTCAATTGTATGCTAAGTAGCACTCATTGTACATTGTATGCTAATGTACATAATGTATTACTTTACACATTGCATGCTAATTGTGTATTATACGTATAAACCATGGTACAAAAATTACTTATTTAAAGATTACTGTACACATGGCAAATTGTATCCTTATCGTTTACTGATTGCACAGTGTACCACCAGACTGATTGTACAGTGTACCGCCAGACTGATTGTGCAGTGTACCACCAGACTGATTGCACAGTGTACCACCAGACTGATTGCACAGAGCACCACCAGACTGATTGTGCAGTGTACCACCAGACTGATTGCACAGAGTACCACCAGACTTATTGTGCAGTGTACCACCAGACTGATTGTACAGTGTACCACCAGACTGATTGCACAGTGTACCACCAGACTGATTGCACAGTGTACCACCAGACTGATTGTACAGTGTACCACCAGCCTGATTGCACAGTGTACCACCAGACTGATTGCACAGTGTACCACCAGACTGATTGTACAGTGTACCACCAGACTGATTGCACAGTGTACCACCAGACTGATTGCACAGTGTACCACCAGACTGATTGCACAGTGTACCACCAGACTGATTGGACAGTGTACCACCAGACTGATTGCACAGAGCACCACCAGACTGATTGCACAGAGTACCACCAGACTGATTGCACAGTGTACCACCAGACTGATTGTACAGTGTACCACCAGACTGATTGTGCAGTGTACCACCAGACTGACTGCACAGAGTACCACCAGACTGATTGCACAGTGTACCACCAGACTGATTGCACAGTGTACCACCAGACTGATTGTACAGTGTACCACCAGACTGATTGCACAGTGTACCACCAGACTGATTGTACAGTGTACCACCAGACTGATTGCACAGTGTACCACCAGACTGATTGTACAGTGCACCACCAGACTGATTGTACAGTGTACCACCAGACTGATTGTACAGTGTACCACCAGACTGATTGCACAGTGTACCACCAGACTGATTGTACAGTGTACCACCAGACTGACTGCACAGTGTACCACCAGACTGATTGTACAGTGCACCACCAGACTGATTGTACAGTGTACCACCAGACTGATTGCACAGTGTACCACCAGACTGATTGTGCAGTGTACCACCAGACTGATTGTGCAGTGTACCACCAGACTGATTGTGCAGTGTACCACCAGACTGATTGCGCAGTGTACGCTAAATGACAACGGGACGCTACATCTACATTGTGTGCTAATTGTACCTAACACACGCGAATTGTCCATCAACGCAGATTGCACCTCAACTAGTTGCACATTCTACGTCAAGTGTAGCTTGTACACAAGGTACACAATGCGTGTACAAGGTACACAATGTGTGTACAAGGTGCACAATGTGTACAATGTGTGTACAAGGTACACAATGTGTGTACAAGGTACATAATGTGTACAAGGTACACAATGTACACAATGTGTGTACAGGGTACACAATGTGTGTACAAGGCACACAATGTACACAATGTGTGTACAAGGTACACAGTGTGTGTACAAGGTACACAATGCGTGTACAAGGTGCACAATGTGTGTACAAGGTACATAATGTGTGTACAAGGTACACAATGTGTACAATGTGTGTACAATGTACACAATGTGTGTACAAGGTACACAATGCGTACAATGTGTGTACAAGGTACACAATGTGTGTACAAGGTACACAATGCGTACAATGTGTGTACAAGGTACACAATGCGTGTACAAGGTGCACAATGTGTGTACAAGGTACACAGTGTGTGTACAAGGTACACAATGTGTACAATGTGTGTACAAGGTACACAATGTGTGTACAAGGTACACAATGCGTACAAGGGCGACGGCGAGGTGCCGCGTCTAGGCATCTGCTGTAACCGTTCCACTGTTCGCCAAGCGCCGTCGCCCTCCCGGCCTCGTGGTGATCGACTGAGCGGGCACTCATGCATACGACGCTTTCGTCGGCCCGCTGCTGGATGAGGGCCTCCTCACTCTCTCCGGGGTAATTTGATTGTCCATCGCCGCCGCGGTCACCGCGCGGTGTTTGGTGACGGAGGGGAGCAAAGCCGTGGGAGCGTAGAAGTGCGGTGCAACAGCAGGTTTTGCCGCGCCGCCCTCTCCTGCCCACCACGTAGCCCGGCATCAGCCAATAGCAACCTGTTTGTGCGCACTGGTCGCCCATCACAGCGCTGTCCAGGCTCAACGTTGCTTAGCTTCTGATGCGATCGGGTGATTTGGTCAGATTAATCCATTAATCCATTCATATCATAATTAATTATAATAATTATTTATAATAATTGAAATCAAACAATCGTCCAGGTCAAACGAGCGACGGGACGGCGCTCGTCTCCTGCGTAAGCCCCAAGCCAGTGGTGGAAATTCCACAGTCGTATGGCAGGGTGCAGTGTGTGCACAGAACAACCAATTGACACCTGACTAATTGACGCTCAAGACTTGATGGGTATCGCGTCGACGAGGCGGCAAGGGATTCCAGTGAAGGGGTTAACAAGAGAGGAGGAGAAGGATCCATCAGGGTCTACAAGTTGTTACCTCGACCTCTGACCTTGGGGGGTCAGCATCCCCCTCCCCCTGGTCCAGGGAGACGCTGCTCTGTGCAGCAGTGGAAGAAGCAACGGGCGACCGTGATCACAGCCACACTCACGGCAGTCGTCACTCCACCACCAGCGCCGTCGTCATCAGCAACAGCATCATCAGTAGCGACGCATTACGATCACCACCATCATTCACACCATCATCATGGTAATCATGATGATCATCATCATCAGTATCATCATCATCACGAACATCGTATCATCAGCAGCAGCACCAACAACAGCAGCATCATTTGCAGTCGCCAGGCCTCCCACCCTGTCTGCCTGTCCCCCGCTCGCTGCGATGAGTGGGGGGCGGAGATGTTGGCTCGGGTAAAACAACGCGGAGGCGCTGTAGCCGAGGGGATGGGGACGCGAGACGGCTTCAGTGTTCCTCGTAAAGCTGGGGGGGGGGTGCCACCTAAATCTTCGCCAGCGGCTACTGCCATGGAGTGGTCGGTACTGGGCACACGAGGGGCAGTGACACAGCTATCGAGTAGCGTGCAGGCGGTGCAACTGCACAGGGTCCCGCAGGCCGGAGGGGTCCAGGCGCCAGGGCCACGGATGGGACAGGAGGGGGGGGGGGGTGGCGGTGCCGCCCCCCGACTGACCTTTGCCCTGTGGATGCGGCTCATGGTGTCGGCCTTGAAGTCCATGCGGTTGGAGCGGCAGAGCTTCCAATAGAGCACCGAGGAGAGCGCCAGCGCCAGCGCCGCGGGCACCACCACGGCCGCGATGATCCACAGGCTTCCCGCGCCCCCCACGGGCGCTTGGCTCGGGGACATCAGCTGCATCACCGCTGATGGGAAGAGGGTTGGACACCGGGTGAGGTACACCGCGCGCCTGTCTGTGGTGGTGCGTTCCCAGCGGTGGTGCGTAGAGCTTTACCCACAAATCAACATATCGCACGCGGGGAAATAGTTTTACCACCAAATACGTTTGCCTGACTTAAAGATAGAAACGAACATCCCCCGTGCAGCCTTAACGGGCGGTTGGAGCAAGAGCTGCTAGCCAGCAGCACCAATGAAGGCCGGCACAGAACACGATGGGGAGGGTAGCAATCCCCAATGATGATGTTTACACGCCAAACCAGGTACACATTTGAGGATAAGTCGATCTCGAGGAGGGCCAAGACCGGTTCAGATAATCATCACCGGTGGCGACCACGAACAAGAACTGGAGTCTCATCGGGTTCGGAGCGCCGCGCGCGAGCCAACCGCTACGCCGCCGCTCCCCGGCAACGCAACAATCCGCCTGGCGCCGTCCCAGCGAGCCGACCGCATCGCTCCGTCTCCGCCGCGGACGTCTTCTCTCGCGCCGCGTTCTCTCTCCTTCGGCCGCCGTTCCGTCGCGAGCCTCGACCGGACCCGCGTCCCCGCGACGCTCGGCCGCGAGCGGCGCCCCCCGACGACGCCGACCGACCTCGCGGTAGCCGCGAGCGGCCGCGGGGTGAGAGCTCCGCGCGTCACGTACGCGCGGCGAGCGAGAGGACGCGGCGGCCCAGCGCCAGCGCCGCCGTCTGCTGGCTCACGGACGCCAGCAGCGCCACGGCGTCCAGGGCGGGGAGGTCTCGCCCGTCGAGCCGCGCGTAGTGCACCACGTCGGCGCGGTCGCCGCCGCCCACGCCCCGGCTGGCGTTCACCACCTGCTCCCAGAGCGCCGGGCGAGCACACAGAGAGGAGGCGGCGGTTCGCTCGCAGCGCCGCACGCAAGCGAGCGGTGTCAGTGCTGCTAGCGCCGTTAGCGGTGTTAGCGGTGCTGGCGGCGCTGGCGGTGTTTGCGGTGTTTGCTGGTGGGTGGGTGAGTCAGCAGAGGAGGGCACCAGGAGGAGTCTCGCGGTGAATATCTGACGGCGCCGCTGCCAGCGACTGATGGAAGTGGGCAGAGGTGGCGCTATGCGGTCCGTGGTTTGAGATTGGTGACCGCAGTCGCGCTGCGGGAGGATTCTTCAATTATCCACGGGCGTGGCGGGAGGAGGAGGCGGCCACTTCTGCTGCCGCTCGATACGGACCCGGAATCAGGAGTGGGGATTTAGCCGAGGGTTGGTCAGCAGGCGGGTTCAAGGAGTCGGGGTTAGGGGGGGTCAGGGATCAGGATCGGGGGGGGGGGGGGGGGGTGGGGGGGGAGGGCGCTCGGGCGGGGGTCGCGCCTGTACGGTGAACCGCCCGTTGGTGGCGGCACGCCGCGTCCTCCGCGACGACGGCGCCGCGTCGCGCTCCGCCCGGGCGTAGAGCGACGCGAGGCGACGCTCCATGTCGGCCGCGAAGCCTCGCACGTCGCGAAGCGTCGCGTCCGTCACGTCCAGCAGCACTGGCGGTGACACGGGAAGGGGGGGGGGGCGACAGACAGTGCGACCCTTGCACCGTGACGCAGCGCCCTCGCGCGGCGTCGCGCACGGGCTCCGGGTCGCTGGTAGCAGCCGCGGCCACAGCGAGGGGTATGATGGATGTTGTGTGCCGGGTGTGGAAATATTTTCTGGGTTCGCAAAGAGTTGCGGTGCCGCCCTGCCGCTGCCAGTGGAAAGGAGCTCAGAGAGGCCCTCTGGATGGCATGTTTGGCCTCCTCTTCTACTGACCAGGCATCTTTGAAAGAGGTGCGAGTCTCCACACGTGACCCCATCACGTGCCACCTGTCGCACCTGGCACACCACATCCAGTATACCTCTCGGCACGGCCGTGCTTGTTACGCACACGTCACCAACTCCGCTCTACCAACGACCCGGAAAATATTCGGTGACAAGATAGACTTGCTGAGGGAGCTGCCTGGGTGATAGGGTCTAGTGCAGAGGTCAAGGGTTCAATCTCCCTCCGCGGCAGTTGGGCCAACGGTGGAAGTTTCTGAAATCCCCCTCGCTGCCTCTGTCCACCCAGCGGCATAAACGGGTTCCCACGACAGTTAACCTAAGATGGGCAGGTCACGCCGCGTGGTGGGGTGGAGTGTCGGTACGCCCGTCTTCTCCAAGGCATCTGGCCTAGTGTGGAAGAGTCGTTCAAATTCCCGCGCGAGGGGCTCTCACCGAGCTCCCTCGAGTGGAGGCGTGAGCGAGCTATTGCAGCGCTGCGCCTTTACCCCCGTCCGTCTGTTATTGCGGATCGTACATCATGTTGCTGACTCGCCAATAAACCTTCATTAGGGGTGGCGCGACTTGGCATCGATTGTCAGGGTAACCTCGTTATGGACGTGCGGTGCGCAGCACACGGACGGGTTATTGAGCAATAAGCGCCGTGCCGAAAATAGTCTCCGTGCGCCTATTTTATATAAAGCGGAAAGAGGGCGCATTACGGAGGATATAAACACCACCATCGCCACCATCACCACCACTTCCACCACCATCATCGTCATCATCATCCCCGGGGCACTCAGATAATGCGAGGTGCATTATGGACCGGCTCTTTAGACGGCGTCTCGGAAGAGCTCGTGAACAATTTATGATTTGAGCGATGAAGTCGCGGCATGGAAAAAAAAACGGACGTTTGCTGATGTGTTTTAAAAAATGTAATGACCAACGCAGACTGCGCCGTGAAACCCGGGGCCGTCCGAAATGAGATGCTTGAAACTTTCCTGAACGAGAAAGCAAAAAAAACTTTCAAATCACAACCGGGATGCTCCGACCTCACCCCAGGGTGACCTCACGTGTGTGAGAACACGTCAGGCTGACCTCACCGCACACGTGTGTGAGAACACGCCAGGGTGACCTCACCGCACACACGTGTGTGAGAACACGCCAGGGTGACCTCACTGCACACGTGCGTGAGAACACGCCAGGGTGACCTCACTACACAGGCGTGTGCGAACACGTCAGGCTGACCTCACCGCACACGTGTGTGAGAACACGCCAGGCTGACCTCACCACACACGTGTGTGCGAACACGCCAGGGTGACCTCACCGCACACACGTGTGTGAGAACACGCCAGGGTGACCTCACTGCACACGTGTGTGAGAACACGCCAGGCTGACCTCACTGCACACGTGTGTGAGAACACGCCAGGCTGACCTCACCACACACGTGTGTGAGAACACGCCAGGCTGACCTCACTGAACACGTGTGTGAGAACACGCCAGGCTGACCTCACCGCACACGTGTGTGAGAACACGCCAGGCTGACCTCACTGCACACGCGTGCGTGAGAACGCGCCAGGGTGACCTCACTGCACACGTGTGTGAGAACACGCCAGGGTGACCTCACTGCACACGTGTGTGAGAACATGCCAGGGTGACCTCACTGCACACGCGTGTGTGAGAACACGCCAGGGTGACCTCACTGCACAAGTGTGTGAGAACACGCCAGGGTGACCTCACTGCACACGTGTGTGAGAACACGTCAGGGTGACCCCACCGCACACGTGTGTGAGAACGCGCCAGGGTGACCTCACTCGAGGGCTATAACAGCCCAAGCGTCCAGCTGACGTCTGTTTTCTCAGTCTGGAGACTTTAAAGTTTCAATCTTCTCGTGGGTCAACACAGCTCGGGTGTGGAGCTACACGGCAAGAGCTCTTTCTGTCTGGGGCTATGAGAGTGTGTGTGGGTGAATGTTTAATTAGTGGCTGGCATGCGGTTTAGAGACTGATTAACTTCCCATTTGGAACCGAAAAACAAAGAGTGTTCAGTGACATCACTGCAGTGGAGTGGCTTTAGAAAGCCCCGGAGTGGCACCGCAGTGATGTCACTCACTGTGGTTTTGCTCGTTAAGGAAGCTTCATTCTGGTTCGGGACAAATGGCTCTCACAGCCTGGGGGATTGCGGATCTGTAGACCAGAGTGGGCATGTGGGGGTGTGAGGGTGTGGGGGTGTGGGCGTGTGGGGGTGTGGGGGTGTGGGGGTGTGGGCGTGTGGGGATGTGGGGGTGTGGGGGGGTCCAGGCTGGGGGCAGGGATCCGGCAGCAGTGGGGAGCAGGGGGGAGGGGCCCCGTACCTGTCAGTACCCAGAGCTGCCGGGTCCTGGCAGACGTGTCCAGGATGGGGTACTCGACGGCTACGCAGGGCGGGGGAGACACGGAGGCGACGAACATGAATGGGAAACGTCTTACGAGTGTGTCTGCACATGCGTCCGTCCGTCCGTGCATACGTGCATGCGCGCGTCCGTATGTCTGTGTCCGTGCGTGCGTCCATGTGTCCGTAAGTCCGTGCAGGCCGCTGTGAGGCGAGTTGACCCGGGAACCTCTTAAAAGGGGGGGAGAGGAGGGGGTAGAGGGGGGTCGAAGCTTAATCACCATGGGGGGGGGGGCATGGAGAGCAGGGGGGGGGACTTCAGGGGGGTTGGGTGGTGGTAGGGAGGGGGGTGGGGGGAAGAGACACCTGCCTGGGCTTTAAGGGCGATCTTCTCTGCCTCGGCTCCTGTGAAATAAAGCTCTGCTTTGAGCCTAAGCTGATTACACGTTAGCCAGGCGGTGGTGGTGGTAGCGGCGGTGGTGGTGGCGGTGGTGGAATCTGGCGAGGCGAGTCACGTGGTGTGATGGTGACTGAAGCGTGGCGGCAGCAGCAGTAGCAGGAGAGGTTTGGGAAGGAGTTTAAATCGCGTTTGCAGATTTTCTCTCGCGCATATCCCTGGCTGTGATTCAGCTGCCAGTGCGTTATTGTGTGTGCCCGCGTGAGAATGAATGGGAGAGTGGGTGAGCAAACGAGTTTGGGCGAGTGGGTGAGTGTGTGGGTGGGTGAGTGAGTGACCATATGAGTGTAACTCCGTGAGGGTGTTATTTGGGGAGCACCCTTACTCTAGCTGAATCAATGCTGCTGAAATGAATCACTCCCAGAAGTCCGTGCGGCTGATGGTTTGTGGAATGCAAATTTTTAAAGTAGAGACATATATAATGTTTCATTGTTTTCTTGTCTTGCATGAATACATACACTCGTGTGTGCACTTGTAGATGTCTATACATACAAGTGTTGGCAGCGGTCGTGTTGTGGGTTTCGTGTGCTGCGCTACGAACCCAGCCACCCCAATTCGATACCCGCTCACAGCCAATAACAGTGAAGAATGTCTGAACCAGTCCTGGGCATCCCCTAGGTGAAGTGTTAACATCGTCATTGGGGAAACAAAGACGGCCCGGCGTCGTGACGGTCCACACCACCCCCTCGTGCGCCGTGCCGGCCTTCACAGGTGCTTGCAAACAGCACTTGCCCCAACGGCGTGTTGAAGGCTATCTGGGCGGGCTTTGCCTGTGTGCGCATGTGAGTGAGTGTGTGAGGTCTCACTCCGAATCAGTCGAGCGGCAATATCTTTTCATCGGTTGCGTAACGCTGTGTGGAAGCTACCTGGTCTGTCGCTCCGCACTAAGCTTCAGGTCTTCTCGGCCACGGTCATTCCCTCCCTTCTCTACGCTTGCGAAACGTGGACCCCCCTAATGGAACATCTTCGCTGGTTAGAAACATTTAGGCTAGCCTGCCTACGATCCATCCTGGGTTTAACTAGGCTGGATTGTGTGAGGAGCTCACAAATCCTTGAAAGACCTGGGCAAGGTCCCATCGGTGAGCTCCTCCGGCAGGCAAGGCTGCGTTGGCTGGGTCATGTAGCCCGCATGCCCAGCCACCGCACGCCCAAACAGCTTTTGTTCGGCCGGATCGAGGGGGCTAAACGGGCGCGGCACGGGCTAGAGTGATGTGGTAGAGGAGGACGTGGAGTTGAGTGGACTTGCCGATGACTGGTACCAGCGGTGTCAAGATCGGCCTCTGTGGAGGAGGCTCGTGAAGGACGCTACTGGGCAGTTAGAGGCAGTCGCCCTCCAACAACAATGGAGGGCGGAGGAGCGACGCTCACAACAACGAGCGGAGCGCCGGGTGGCTAAAGCACAGCAGGTTGGCACAGTAGGGGCACAGGTGGTGCATCAGCCAGTCATCTCAGTCATCTCAGTCAGTCGACCCGTGGCACCTGGGTCTGCCCCGTGACCTCCTGCCAGCGGGCGTTCAACATTTCACGTGGCCTCAAGGTGCACATGGCCTGGCACAAGCGTCGTGGTGACGTCACCGCCACTTAGTGGCGAATGGCGGTTGTTGTTGGGTGTGTGTGTGTGAGTAAGTGAGTGTGTGAGTGAGTGCTGTGTGAGTGAGTGAGTGTGGGTGTGTGAGTGAGTGTGTGAGTGAGTGTGTGAGTGAGTGAGTGTGTGAGTGAGTGTGTGAGTGATGTGTGAGTGAGTGTGTGAGTAAGTGAGTGAGTGTGTGAGTGAGTGTGTGAGTGAGTGAGTGTGTGAGTGAGTGAGTGTTTGAGTGAGTGAGTGTGTGAGTGATGTGTGAGTGAGTGTGTGAGTAAGTGAGTGAGTGTGTGAGTGAGTGTGTGAGTGAGTGAGTGTGTGAGTGAGTGAGTGTTTGAGTGAGTGAGTGTGTGAGTGAGTGTGTGAGTGAGTGAGCATTTGAGTGAGTGTGTGAGTGAGTGTGTGAGTGTGTGAGTGAGTGAGTGTGTGAGTGAGTGAGTGTGTAAGTGAGTAAGTGAGTGAGTGTGTGAGTGAGTGAGTGTGTGAGTGAGTGAATGCTGTACGCTCAGCAAGGGTGGTTGGCGGGTATCCCAGGTAGAATCCCAGCAGCGCTGCCGGGAGGAGACGGATCACCTCCGCCGCCTCCGATCCATTGAGGGGAGCGCCCTCTCGCCCCGCCACCGCCACCACGTACGTGAGCGTCACGTCCAGCGAGAGGGGGGGCACGCGCTCCGCGCTCAACACCTTCGCCCGTGGGGGCGGGAGGGGGGCAGGGGGGGGAGGAGGTGAGACACCGTCGTCGTCGTCGTCCTCAACGTGGCCGTGGTGCTCTCTCCGTAGGCTTTCCCGAGCCGTCGCCGTCCATCGCAGTCTCACGCACGAGCCGAGTCAATCGCTCCGTCTCCGCTGCGGACGCTCTCCCCGGGCGTCGTGTTTTCCCTCCTTTGGCTGCCATTCCACAGTCAGTCTCGACCGTCATCCCCGCCGGCAACGACGCCTCCCGACCCCGGCCCGCCCGCTGTACGGAGCCGGCGGCGCGGTGCCGCTGACCCGTGCACGTCCTGCGGTCCGCACGCCCCTCGTCCCGTCGGACGCGAGGGATGACGAGAGGCCGGCGGCGACGCGGCCACACGGGAGAGCCCGTTGAGGAATCTCGCGACAACGAGTCACTCGGGGGGGGTAGCGGGGGGCAGGAGCGGGGCCTTGGGGGGGGGGAGCGGGGCCTTGGTGGGGGGAGGAGTGGGGCCTTGGGGGGGGGGAGCGGGGCCTTGGGGGGGGGAGCGGGGCCTTGGGGGGGGGGAGTGGGGCCTTGGGGGGGGAGCGGGGCCTTGGGGGGGGGGAGCGGGCCTTGGGGGGGGGAGCGGGCCTTGGGGGGGGGTAGTGGGGCCTTGGGGGGGGGGAGCGGGGCCTGGGGGCGGGGGAGTGGGGCCTTGGGGGGGGGGAGCGGGCCTTGGGGGGGGGGAGTGGGGCCTTGGGGGGGGGAGCGGGGCCTGGGGGCGGGGGAGTGGGGCCTTGGGGGCGGGGAGCGGGGCCTTGGGGGGGGGAGCGGGGCCTTGGGGGGGGGGGAGCGGGGCCTTGGGGGGGGGGGACATGAAGCCCGCGAGTACGCGGGCTTCATGCAGTGGCGTGCCGGGGGCATGCCGTCTCATTACTGATTCACGTAATCCCGACCCCCAGGTCACTGTGGCGAGAGATGGAGGGAGGCGGGCGACGGTGTTCGCCGCGCATCGCTCGATTCGTACAGTGGCCCCTTGGCCTGCCGTACCTACAGCTCCCACGTGGGCTACGTCTGTGTCGCACGGTGAAGCCCGCTTCTAGAACGTGCCACGTCGGCACGAGCCGTGCTCCATCTCCATGCCGTCGCCCTGCCTCATGGTTTTTGCGATGCCACGGTCCAACTCGCTCATACGCACGAGCCGATCGCGTCGCTCCGTCACGCAGAGCGCGAGTTGGAGGGCAGCTTGAGTTGGTCATTTATATATGAAGTGTCGATTCCACGATATACAAAGTTACACGAATTGGGCAGAAATACTTCCGATCGAGACTTTCCCAGAGTCAAAGGATCAAGATCCGCATTGCTGACAAAACCCAAAAGTCAGCATTGCCACCGCCTACGACACCTTTTATTGGTGGCGTCACTTCGCGTCGGCAAAATTGTGACCAAGAGGCAATCCGGACCGGGCCGTGAAGCGAGACCAGCCGCCGAGAATTCAGGCCGCGTCCAAAATAAAAATTCACGGCCCAACTCGAACCGAGGATCAATACGCACGAACGCGCCGACTCGCTAGGGTGACACCGAGTTGAAACCCCAGTCACGCGACCCGCGGAACGGCGCCGATTGAACTCGACAACGCGGCGACCAAGCGCTTGGCCGGCTCGGATAGCGCCCTCTGCGATTGCGGCCGCGATGAGGAGGAGGATGAGGAGGGAACACGGACGCAAGCGAGCGCCGTCTCACAAACCTGTGCCGTGACGATCCCCGGGGCGAGGGTGGGAGTGGGAGTCGAGGGGGAGGGGGCCGGGTCGCGGAGGGCCCAGGCGGCGGCGAAGGCCCTCGCCAGACGGGCCTCCAGCGCCTGGACGAAGCCGCAAAAGCGGATGTCGTCTTTCACCAACGCCAGCGCTGGGCGGTGAAACACGCGGAGACACCGGAGATGCACTCAGCGGCGAGCAACGCAGCGCCCAGACATGGGAGGGGCACTGGGCCAGTGGTGGTGGCAATTCTACATTCGTATAGCGGCTGCGGGGCCGAGGGGAGGGAGGGTCTATCCACTGACTTTCTTCAAAAAGTGGTGCTTGTTTTATCGACCCACGGAGTTATGGATGATGATGCACAAGCGGGATGAGAACTCGCATGCTTCCGATTGAGCGTTAAATTCGCAAACTTAATCAGCGATATGAGTAATTGTCAACAAGGGAGGTTCGTTCCTGTTTTTCTCTGTTCACATTTTAGCCAATGCTGACGATGAGCGGACAAACATCGTCAAGAGCGACGACGGTGACCGTGGGTGGCTGCACAGCAGGGACCGGGGCGCGAGATTTTTTACAACACGAAGAGGACTAAGCCGGGAACGGCGACGCTCACCGAGATACCCGCGTCGCGACCCGAGGGATTGCGGTGCGCTGACAGACAGCAAGACCACGTGGTAGTTGGCGATCCTGTACACTATCCATATGCTTCGTTAAACATACAACCAGACCTGCAAAGCAGAGGTCACCGGTTCCGCCTCCCGGCGCGGCAGCTGAAACCCCACGGCGTACAATGGGTTCACCGTAGGTAATCTCTGATCAGCAGGTCGCGTGCGGTGGGGTAAAGTGTGGGTGATTTCACCTCTTCCAAGACGTCTGATCAGCGTGGAAGAGCAGAACAAGTACCCCCGAGAGAAGAGCTCCCTCTTGCCGGCAGTGGCGGGAGCAGGCAATTGCAGGGCTGCGCGTTTACCATTTACCGGTCCATGTTTGGCAACCCCAAATATATTTACGCGCCCGGCACACCACGTCCAGTATCCGTCTCACTACGACCGCGGCGAGTACCAGTGACGCGCCACTTCTTGCCTACCGGCGACGAGCTCAGCCCTGGCCTGGGCCGTTCATCTTCGCATTCTCTGGCCGCAAAAGTTTTGTTACGTCCCTGGATTTCCCAGTAGCGTCACAGCGGGAGAGACAGAGCTCCATCAGCCCAGACGACGATGCGGCGTTGTGCCGTCCTCCCCTCTACTGGCATCGCGAGATATCCCTCTTCAGCCCACGACGCGTCCGCCGCGATGCATCGGACCTCGGAGGTGGCAGCGGCGACCCTTCCCCGTCGCTCACCTGTCGTGACCTGAAAGAGCGTCGGGTAGGACAGGTGCGGGTAGCCGGGGGGGTCCGTCACCCCCGTGACCCCGTGGCTCTTGAGCTCCCAGGCGACGCGCATGGAGCCATAGCGAGCCAGCGAGCCCGACACGGCCCACGCCGTGAGCGCCTGGCTCCCCACGACGGTGACGTAGGACACGTCCCACACGTCCGCACCGCGGGAGGAGGCCTTCAGGATGGCTTCCACCTGAGCGACGGGCGGGGGAGGGGCGCAGGGGGGGTTGGGGAGGGGGTGATCCCTCCGATTAGCACGGTTGGATACGTACGTACATACAGAATTGGGTGAAAACATCTTAATATGAGTAAGTGTTGGGAGCGCCGGATCTCCACCTGGCAGCCTTCCAGCTTGGTCTGTGGTTCCGACTCAGCGGTTGTGAGATGCAATTTGCATGAACGTTATTACTTATATAAAAAATACGAATCATAAAATAATTGAGGGAGGGAAACCTCCGAATGCAAACATCCGCACAAAGAACATTTACATGGTTACGCAGAATGCATTTGTCGGAGGGAAGAAAAATAATTGCAGAATAAAAAAAGTCACGTGGAAATCCGACACCCCCCAAACTCACCTGCACCACCGCATCCCCCTCACCCAGAGCCCCCCGCACAGCCCTCGCCAGCCCGTCCGCCACCCCCTCCCGAAACCCGCGGCTCAAGGGGTCCGTACCGGCAGACACCGTGACCCCTGCTCGGTGAGGGGAGTGGGGGGGGGGAAGGATGGGGGGCGGGGGAGTGGGAGGTGAGTTGGGGGGGTTACTTAGTCAATGGGCCGAGTGAAGACTTTGCTGCACGTGGACACACAATTACAGCAGAACGACCAATACCCCGTTAACGACTAATCGCTTAACGACGGGCCTCCATAGAGCCCAATGTGGTCGCTTACCGACCATTCTCTCCTGTTAACGACGGGCTTATGCCGAGCACGCAACCGTCAATTTTGGCCAATCGGCGAGCTCCAAAGCGGTCTGACCAGGCTTCGGCCAATCAGCGACGTCCATGCATGAGCGTTGGGACATTGTTTACATGCAATGCTATTGGAACGAATTAAGCCTTTAACGTGTATTTCCTATACTCGCTTAACGGCCAAATCACTTAATGACCGGTTTCGTGGAACCAACGACCGTCGTTAAGATGGGTTCTACTATATACACAATTAAACAATGCCCTTTAAGATGGTCGCTCTTTCAAACACATACCTAACTTGTTGTGAGAATTACACTGGGCGCTGCCAAACGACTGTGGAATTTCCACCGCTGGCTGAGGGCCACCAACAGAGATATAGAGGCAGGGCGCCTCAGTAGTATGTAGAAGGCACGAGGAGGCCTCCATCCAGCAGTGGATTGATCATGGCTGATGAGGATGCTGAATTTGAGGATGATGTTGGCTCCATGGGGGGGAGGGGGTGGTGACGGTATTTGTGGAGGTGGCTCACCCGTGGTCACCCACAGCGCTTCCGTCACGTTGCAGTTCAGGGTTCCTGGAGGGTCCGTGGGTACCGTTGGGGTCAGGGTGGTCGCGGGCACCGCTGGTGTCGTTGGTGTCGGGGTGGGTATCAGGGTGGTCGCGGGCACCGATGACATCATTGGTGTCGGGGTGGGTATCTGGGTGGTCGCGGGCACTGATGACATCATTGGTGTCGGGGTGGGTATCTGGGTGGTCGCGGGCACCGATGACATCATTGGTGTCGGGGTGGGTATCTGGGTGGTCGCGGGCACCGTTGACATCATTGGTGTCGGGGTGGGTATCTGGGTGGTCGCGGGCACCGGTGACATCATTGGTGTCGGGGTGGGTATCTGGGTGGTCGTGGGCACCGGTGACATCATTGGTGTCGGGGTGGGTATCTGGGTGGTCGCGGGCACCATTGACATCATTGAGGTCGGGGTGGGTATCTGGGTGGTCGCGGGCACCATTGACATCATTGAGGTCGGGGTGGGTATCTGGGTGGTCGTGGGCACCGTGGTCGTGGGCACCGGTGACATCATTGAGGTCGGGGTGGGTACCTGGGTGGTTGTGGGCACCGTTGACATCATTGAGGTCGGGGTGGGTACCTGGGTGGTTGTGGGCACCGTTGACATCATTGAGGTCGGGGTGGATATCTTGGTGGTTGTGGGCACCGTTGCCATCATTGAGGTCGGGGTGGGTACCTGGGTGGTTGTGGGTACCGTTGACATCATTAAGGTCGGGGTGGGTATCTGGGTGGTTGTGGGCACCGTGGGCCCTAATGGCCCTGAGGTCACGAACTCTGCGGTGGTCATCGCGGGGGCAAATGTTAAGGTCAGCGTCATTGTTGGCGGCAGTGGTGGTGGCGGCGATGAGGCCGTGGGTCCGATTGTAGCAGAGGTCACGGTGCCCCTGGCGGGGAGGGAGGAGGCCTCTGTGGCCGGTAGTGCTGTGGTCACCACGGAGGCCCGGGGTGTGGGAAAAGGCACAGAGGAGCTGGAGGCGACGAGGCCAGACGATGTCAACAACGACGAAGATGTTGATGACGATGATGAGAAGAACGAAGATGTGGAGAAGGAGGTGGAGATGGACGATAGAGGTGGTTCTCGGTTGACGATGATCGACGTGGACGCGACGGGCGAGGTGAGCGGCAGCGGCGAGGCAAACGGCAGGTCCTGCTGAAGGAGGACCGACGATGATGGTAACGGCGACAGCGACGATGGTGATGGCAAAGATGATGAAAAGAAGAACGTGGGGGAGAAAAATGAGGAGGTAAGCGATGACGTGAGGCCGCTGCCATCAATCTTTCCGAAAATATCTGGCAGCTGAGAAGACTCGCTCGGCTCTGAGAGGACGGGAGAAGGGGTCGCCCCGATCGACAATGAAGCCGCCCCCGTCAACATCATCATCATCGTGGTCGTCGTCATCATCACCATCGGCGACGTTGTCGTCACCCGCGTGGACTTTGGCACTGGGCTCAGAGCGGCGCTCTCCTCCGCCACGGGTGCCGGCGCTTGAGATGACAGCGGCAGTGCCTCGATCCGCGCAGCCGAGCTCATGGGTTGCGTGGTCACCGTACCCCGGGGGCCTCGGCCGGAAGAACCGACGGCGCTCGCGAACGACATGGACGGAGCGGAGGACGAGACAAAGGCAGTGGCTTCCATGCCGGTCGTGAGCGACGGGGGTCGCCGTGACGCCAGGAGGTCAGCGTCGCTCCCCACGGAGCCGCTCACCGCCGCCCCCGCGCTTGCAGGAAGCGCCGGGGTCCACGTCACCGAGAGAGGAGTCCCAGAGTCTTGGGCTGCAGTCTCCACCGAGGGAGACGGCTGGGGCGGGGATGATGGCGAGGACGAGGAGGACGAGGCGGTGGAGGAGAAGAGTTCGGAGTCCCCAGGCATCGAGGAGAGGAGAGGCGGCCGAGATGAACGCAGGGGACCTTGCGACGTCGGGATATCGGCCGTCGCGGGGAGGATGTCTCTGCTCGGGTGAGGCAATGATGCTAAAGACGATGGAGGCGATGGCAGGGAAGGGGACGGCCACGACGATGCAGGGATGCCCTCGCGTGGTGTTCGCCCGACAGTGGACGCAGGCGGCGGTCGAGCGGGGGCGGCGTAGGAGCTCGCGAGGATCGGGCCGTGTCCCGGCGCCACTCCCTCCGCGAGATCCGTTCCCAATAGCGCAGCGCTCGACTCCACCAGAGAAGAGACGGCGGGCTCTGAGTTCCGCCGTGGATCTGCGAGATCTGCTGCGATCACAAGCGAAGAGTGGAGCTCAGAGGACCCGGAGAGAGCTCGTCCTCCTTCCGATGCCGCCAAAGGGAAGAGATCCGAGGACGTGGGGCGCGGAGACGGAGTCTCTTCCGCAAAAGATTCTGACTCATGGGCATCGGAAACGAGAAGCGCGAGCGACGGGGACCCACGAGGCGACGAGGAGGTGGGGAGCTCGGGGTGGGAGGAGAAAGCCGACGAGGTGAAGGCGACGAGGGGAGTTAAGGAGGGCGCGATGTCTCTGTACGCAGCTGAGCCAGCCGTGGTCTCTTCTGGAGGTGGTGAGGAGTGATGAGGAGGTGAGAAGACAAGAGAAGATGAGGGGAGATCCTGTGATTCAGTCACCACGCGCGTCGCACCCCCCTCGTGCCGCGATGATGACGATGATGGAAGCAGAGTCCATGATGACGATGATGGCAATGACGATGTTAACACTTCTGCTGATGGTGCTGCTGATAATGATAATGACAATATTCCTGCTGCTTCTGATATCACTGCTGCATCTTCTGCTGCTGCTACAAGCGATGATGATGATGAAAGTGGTGGTGACATCGTCATGGTTGGACCCCACTCAAAAACATCTTCATCCCCCATGCTGTTTGGTGACCCCCAGAGCTGGGGTTGAGTTTGGTGAAGGAGGTCAAGAAGCTGAAGGTCAGAGGTCGCGCTGTTCCACGTGTCCAGGTCTCCCCACGGCAATGATGTCGCCAGGGGCCACCTCTCGGATTCTGCCAACACAAACCCCGCAGTGGTCTCACAGGGAGTCTCACAAGGGGTTCCACAGGGGGTCTTACAGGGGGTTCCACAGGGGGTCACACAGGGGGTCTCACAGGGGTCTCACAGGGGGTTCCACAGGGGGTGTCCCAGGGGTCTCACAGGGGGTTCCACAGGGGGTTTCACAGGGGTCACACAGGGGTTTCACAGGGGGTCTTACAGGGGGTTTCACAGGGGTCTCACAGGGGGTTCCACAGGGGGTCTTACAGGGGGTCTCACAGGGGGTCTCACAGGGGGTCACACAGGGGGTTCCACAGGGGGTCACACAGGGGGTTCCACAGGGGGTCTTAAAGGGGGCCTCACAGGGGGTCTCACAGGGGGTTCCACAGGGGTCTCACAGGGGGTCTCACAGGGGGTTCTACAGGGGGTTCCACAGGGGGTCGCACAGGGGGTTCCACAGGGGGTCTTACAGGGGTCTTACAGGGGTCACACAGGGGGTTCCACAGGGGGTCTTACAGGGGGTCTCACAGGGGTCTCACAGGGGGTTCCACAGGGGGTCACACAGGAAGTCTTACAGGGGTCTCACAGGGGATCTTACAGGGGGTCTCACAGGGGGTTCCACAGGGGTCTCACAGGGGGTCTCACAGGGGGTTCCACAGGGTCTCACAGGGGGTTCCACAGGGGGTCACACAGGGGTCTCAGAGGGGGTTCCACAGGGGGTCTCAAAGGGGTCACACAGGGGGTTCCACAGGGGGTCTCACAGGGGGTTCCACAGGGGGTCTCATAGGGGTCACACAGGGGGTTCCACAGGGGGTCTTACAGGGGTCTCACAGGGGGTCTCACAGGGGTCTCATAGGGGGTTCCACAGGGGGTCTCACAGGGGGTCTCACAGGGGGTTCCACAGGGGGTTCCACAGGAGTCTTACAGGGGGTCTCACAGGAGGTTCCACAGGGGGTCTCACAGGGGGTCCAACAGGGGTCACACAGGGGACGTCTCTACGCCGACGCTCTCACGGGCAGAACCGTCATCACGAGAGGTCTGTGGTTCAAATCGAGCGGCCACCCCGGTTAGTACCGCGGGAGGATTGACTGATGGAAATACGCAGCCACCTGCTTCACTCACGCTACACGTTAAAGATCCAGTGGCGTCATTCGCAACAGTAGACCATTGTGTTTGTTTGTCCGGCGTCAGTGTCCAAATTCGCCAAATTAAAAAATAACACCGCAATCGACTCGATTTTGCATAACGCACACACACACAGCAGCAGCGGCAATCATCACCCCGTCGTGCCAGACTAATGCCCCAGGTCACTCTTGCAAATGAGACTCAGATTGGTCTCCTGAGCTGTCTCCTGCTTTAAACAGTCCACTTGAAGCTCGAGTGGAACACTGCTATACCACGAGGGGCGTAGCAGCCAATCACGATTCGAGCCAGCGCTTGGTCGGGGATACGTGAGGCAAGGCGTTGCCTGTGGCGCATTCTATGAGGCCCTGACACAGGCCACAGCGGGCAGCGTATCAGCAGGGATTGCCATTGTACGGGAGGGAGGCACTATAGCGGAGATGCTCCATCTCTGCCTGATCCACTAACCCCGCCTACAAGGCTCTGTCTGCTGGGTGAGCTCCCCATGGCTTGAGGGTGCACGAGAGAGGAGAAATAACAGAGTGGGGAGGGAGGGAGAAAATAATATTGCACTAAGCCCATGCCAACCAAGCCAGGCCACCGGCTTCATTGTTCATCGCGGTGGCTCATAGAGCCAGACAAAGGCTACCCAAGGGTTCAGTGTTGATTCAAGAGGCTCATAGAGCCAGACTAAGGCTACCCAAGGGTTCAGTGCTAATTCAAGAGGCTCATAGAGCCAGACTAAGGCTACCCAAGGGTTCAGTGTTAATTCAAGAGGCTCATAGAGCCAGGCTAAGGCTACCCAAAGGTTCAGTGTTAATTCAAGAGGCTCATAGAGCCAGACTAAGGCTACCCAAGGGTTCAGTGTTAATTCAAGAGGCTCATAGAGCCAGGCTAAGGCTACTCAAGGGTTCAGTGTTAATTCAAGAGGCTCATAGAGCCAGGCTAAGGCTACCCAAGGGTTCAGTGTTAATTCAAGAGGCTCATAGAGCCAGACTAAGGCTACCCAAGGGTTCAGTGTTAATTCAAGAGGCTCATAGAGCCAGACTAAGGCTACCCAAGGGTTCAGTGTTAATTCAAGAGGCTCATAGAGCCAGACTAAGGCTACCCAAGGGTTCAGTGTTGATGCAAGAGGGTCATAGAGCCAGGCTAAGACTACCCAAGGGTTCAATGTTAATTCAAGAGGCTCATAGAGCCAGACTAAGGCTACCCAAGGGTTCAGTGTTGATTCAAGAGGCTCATAGAGCCAGACGAAGGCTACCCAAGGGTTCAGTGTTGATTCAAGAGGCTCATAGAGCCAGACTAAGGCTACCCAAGGGTTCAGTGTTAATTCAAGAGGCTCATAGAGCCAGACTAAGGCTACCCAAGGATTCAGTGTTAATTCAAGAGGCTCATAGAGCCAGGCTAAGGCTACCCAAGGGTTCAGTGTTAATCCAAGAGGCTCATAGAGCCAGACGAAGGCTACCCAAGGGTTCAGTGTTGATTCAAGAGGCTCATAGAGCCAGGCTAAGGCTACCCAAGGGTTCAGTGTTAATCCAAGAGGCTCATAGAGCCAGACAAAGGCTACCCAAGGGTTCAGTGTTGATGCAAGAGGGTCATAGAGCCAGACTAAGGCTACCCAAGGGTTCAGTGTTGATTCAAGAGGCTCATCGAGCCAGACGAAGGCTACCCAAGGGTTTAGTGTTAATTCAAGAGGCTCATAGAGCCAGGCTAAGGCTACTCAAGGGTGCAGTGTTGATTCAAGAGGCTCATAGAGCCAGGCTAAGGCTACCCAAGGGTTCAGTGTTAATTCAAGAGGCTCATAGAGCCAGACTAAGGCTACCCAAGGGTTCAGTGTTAATTCAAGAGGCTCATAGAGCCAGACTAAGGCTACCCAAGGGTTTAGCGAACGGCATAGCTAACTGCGTGTGCAGGCAGTGTAACTGTGGCGTGGCCCACGGGCCAGAGCGGTAGAGGCGCCGGCCGATGCAGAGGGGGAAGTTGGACAGGGCCCCCCCCCCCCCCCCGCAACCCTGTTTCATTGTTTCACCAGGGCCTGTGCCAACCTCGCCCGGCCACTGGCAGACAGGGGGGAGAAAGAGGAAGAAACAGAGAAGAGGTGGAGGAGGAGAGGGCAGCTTTATTCGCTCCCCTGCCTTGGTTTCCTCCTACGCAGGGCTTCATCGCTTTCAATATTTCCCCAACCGGCGCACCACATCAGGTATACTTCTCGCTACGGTTACTCGTCCACGTGCCACCTACGACGAAAAACAGATTTCGCAACCCGGTGCACAACATCGAGAATACTTCTCGCTGCACCTGTAGCTACTGCCAGTGTCATGCCACCCACTCGAGTCCACTCCAGTCTCCCAGCGCACCACATCCATCACGCCTCTCACTGTGGCTACCGCCACCACTCAATGTGCGGCACCCGCTTCCGTGTACACGGTAAAATATTTGCCGATAAATTAAGCCCCGTTCCTTACGCGTCGCATCCGCCAGCTAAGACAACACGGCGAGGGCGATGATGATGATGATGACAGAGGAGGGAGGGGGGGGTGAGACATCTCTCCACGTACCACAAGTGCTGTGCAAACAGAGCGCTGAGAGCGGCGACCTCTCGGCGCTGATGTAAATCTCTGTAATCCACGGCGCGAATTGCAAACACGCGGGCGGCACGAGGCGCTGTGCGCTGGAGTGGCGGCGGCAGTAGCGGTTTGGGCCCACGGTCTCAAGGGCACGAGTTCGGATCCACGTCGAGGTCGACTTAGGTCGACTTAGGTCGACTTAGGTGATACGTAATGACGACCGTCGCTTCTGGCCCCGGTGGGAAAAGTGGAAGCGGTACCCCGATCACCCGATTCGACCGTGAGTGTGGAGGTCTCAAGGGGGGAAAGGCGCGGCCCTGCAAGCGCCTGCTCGCGCTCCTGCTGGTGGGAAGGCCTCCGCTAGAGGGGGCGCTGGAGAGTTCCCTCGTCGAGACGGTGTTTGGCCTACTCTTTCCAGACGTGTTGTTGGAAGAGGTGGCAGTGCTCACACTTTAACCCACCAGACGCGCCCTGCCGATCAACTGACTGTGGCGTGTCCACATTTGTGGACAGAGGCGGCGGTGGGGGGGATTTGAGAAATTCGCCCCCCACTGCCACGCCGGGAGATAAGGTCACTCGTTGACTTGCACACACGAACAGACACTCCGGCACATGAGCCTGCTCTCTGCGCTCGTGAACTTGGCTCAATTCCGGCCGTGAGCGCGATGCGACAAACGTGAGCGCGTGGCACGCGGGCGGAAGGGTCGCAGCCGGTGCGCGCGGGCCCGGGCGACGCGCGGCGCTCGGGGTGGAGGGGGTGGGTGCCGTGCGCTCGGGGTGGAGGGGGTGGGTGCCGTGCGCTCGGGTGGAGGGGGTGGGTGCCGTGCGCTCGGGGTGGAGGGGGTGGGTGCCGTGCGCTCGCTCCGCCGGGATGTCCGGTTGGGTCCCGCGAGCCGTGACCACGCGCGCCGACGCCGCCGCCGCCGCCGCGATCGGGATACACATTGGGGAGAGTTTGGCGGAGATTTATTTCGCGAAAATGTGAGCGTGACTGAAAACAGATTAGACGAGCCGACGTGCCCCGCGAAGTCTGGTTCAGCCCGCCATAGTAGCGCTCCACTGACCACTCTCCCTGCACTCTCTCGGTACTCTCTCCACGCTCCCCCCTATATAGTCTCACTCTCCCCCCTATACTCACGCGCTTTCCCCACACTCTCTCGTCGAACTCTCTCCACCCAGTGTCCTCTGGACTCTCAGCGAATGCTCTGTCTACAAACACACTCTCTCCACACTCTCTCCACACTCTCTCTCTCACACACACTCTCTGACGCACACTCTCTCTCACACACTCTCTACAAACACACTCTCTCCACACTCTCTCACAC